CCCTCACTTCCCATGTGGTCCTAAAACATTCTCCTAAAATATTAATTCGTTGCCGTTTAAATAATTCGTTATAATTTATTTAAAACGTAAGGGTGCCCGTCAAATGTTATTACAGATGATTTGATTTGAATAATGCAGTGTATTATCTGATGCTGTTTCCCACGGCTTATACGTCGATATGAAATATTCATAAAAAATTTGTCTATTCCATATAAAATATGTCGCTACAACATTATTATAATAATGTATTATAGAATTTTTGATAAAAAGTATAGCATAGTATAAAGAGATAGTTATAATTTAATAATACGGCCATATTTTTATGATAAACAGCTTATTATGGCGCTGTTATTTTCTTATTGGTATTGCTATTCATAAAAATTGTTTCCTTTACCCCCACATCTTCCTCACCTGTAGGAGTTTCGTTCAATTTGTTTGTAAATGTATATAAATCGTTTAATAAATATTAATTATACTTATAAAACCTAGATAAAATTTCAATATAAATAAATAATATTGCATGGGTACATAATGAAATTGCATGAATGGCATATGGACGAGGATCATCATTTTAGAAAATAACTGATGGCGGATGTAATAATGAGGAAACTTTATTTACAAAATTTCATTAATTTTCTTATAATAAAGAAAAAATAATTTTCCATTCACACAGACACAGACACAGCTACATAGTTTATTAATAATGTTTTTCAGCCACTTATACAATTGTGTATATTTCCAAACGTTGATTGATGAAGACATCATCGGTTTTTGAACGATTCAGTTTGAATGGAATCATTGAATTAAATATTTGATACATTATGCCGCTGCGAGGAATTATCAATTCCACGATCTAACGATGTACAGAGCTTGGGGCTTTGTATGATAAATAGTAGAAAATGTATCACGTAAAATAATGTTATAGAAGATTAGTTACCAACCGCGACTTTGCTTGGGTTATATGGAGTACATTACGAAATTAAATTCAATATGGTGGCTTTCTCTTAATTTAGACAGACTAGTTGTGGGAATAGATTTTAATTTCAAACTTAATCGTTTATATAGAATTTCTTTTCCAAATAAAAACTATAATAGATAATTGTACAAAAACTGTGTTATAAAAACATCAGGTTCATAAGTCCGTCCAAAAAAAAAAAAAAAACAACAAATATGTATATCGCTTATGGATGAAGTGCTTGCTCTGACATTAATACGCCATTTATTTAACTGCTGAATTCGCTTAACAAAAGACGACATCGCGATATTCAAATTCAAAAGGTTCGAGAATTATAGCGCGAAATACAATACGAAAAAATAGCTTCTTGCCCTATATTTATTGAGCTCGAGATTAAAAATAATGTTTAATATACAAAGAAACAGAGTAAACAGAAAATGTTGGCTTATTCTCATGCCGTCTTTATTAAGCCTGTTCGCGTTTTGTGTTGTGACAATTAGATGTGTGTGAGTTTTTTTTTTTAAAAAGGCCTTGAACAAGATCTCGTTTATGCGGATACTATGTTGACGAAATCAAAAAATATCCAAATGGATTGATATCTTCGTTGATGTAATTGTATTATAAAAATGTATATTATGAAACGGAACAATGCATTACTTAGTATATTGTTGATCTTTGGATCGGTAAAAGTTTTTATCTGCATAACTTTGTTCATCCTATTGCAAAGAAGAAACTCGTATTCATTTAATCGTTATCCCTGAAAGTTTTTTTTTATCTCGGAGACAATGATACATACCTTACATTTATTCAATCAACTTTATCTTGTAAGATATATTTAAAAGATTCAAGATATTGAATTACAAAAAAATCTTATAAATTAATTATATTTGCTTTGCTTTTTAAATATATATTATAAAAATAATGTTTGTTACAATTAAAACTATGTATTTCTATTTAAAAAAAATACATTAAATTAATATTATATCCGAAATATTGTTTAGTGTTGCCAGTGTAAAGCTGGACGGTTGTTCACGCACTTGACCGGGTCACACCGCGCGTGTTCCGTCTCGCACCAGACCAATTTTATTATTTAGCTACATTTATATTTCCATTTAACTTCCACTCAATTTTCAAACTTTACTTTCATTGTTTAACTGTTCTTTTAAACTTAACTACATATAGTTAATACATTTGTTTTTAATATAAATATTGGGTAGACATTTATATTTGCTTTAATATACATGTAAATGATGAATATCTATCGATAATTTTGCTACGCCATTTATATGTAAGTAACAGTAACTTTAATTGCTAAGCATTTAACTCCACACAGTGCTTTACGATCATAATCTTTACGCGTACTACAAGTTTTATCGTCACACTTAATACACGGCGTTTTCTGTTTCTCATTGAATAACCTACATTACTGTTAGTAGGCTTACTTTTAGTCTTTCTTATAGGTTTGAAGGTATTATAATCAAGTAAGGTTTGCTATATCTAAGACATTGAGAGTACGAATTTAATACGAGACTTACCTTAGATCAATTTCTGGTGTAAAATCTATGTGTATATTTGTACGCGTGTTTATTTCTAAATATTTATTATAATTCAACATATCGATCTATTGGTATCGGATTTATGTGTTTGCGAATATGAATCGCAAATTTGCTTTGTGCGAAGCTGCGGGCGGAATCTTGTTCAATATTAATAACCTATTCGATACCTCAAAATTATTTCATAAATATACATACAAGTACTGCCAATGACCGTTATGTTTAAATTATATCGATATATCTGATATATAATATATTAAGTAAAATATAATATACAACATACTATTTTTGAACGTTTTATCATTAGTTAAAGTTTGTAAGCGACATTGGCGAAATCTATAAGAAAACGCCGCTCACTAAAGAGGAAGAAGATTGTAATAAAATTATAATTTTGAAATTAACAGTCGTTTAAAATTAATTATAGTAATACGTATAGTATTTATAATATTAGATGAATGAGCTAAATTGTGGCCATATTATAATAAAAAAAATGGCAATGGTTACTATCTTGGAGCCATCAATAAGTGAATATTTGCTAAAGACATTATGATAATAAAGTTTAAATTCTTATTTATTCGTAATATGTATGTGTTAGAATTGTAAATAAATTTATTTTTAATAATAAACAAAAAAATTATAGTTAATTGTTTAAGTATATGTAGTACAAACAATTATTCGTTGTTTAACATAAGACGAGTAAGTTAATATACCTACAATTATTTACTTGGATAGAAACCATTATACATCCTTATATATCTGACATATACGGCCTCTTTTATATATATAAATGGAGAGAGAATTTATTATTGAATATCCAGTTTCCAAGTCCAAAACACCACACCGAGACTCATACTGTCAATTAAAAAAATGTTTTCTTCAAATTGTGACTAAAAAAAAAATGTTTACGTTATTTTTAAATAAAAATATTTGACTTTATTAATTACTCAGAAGTTTTAACTTCGTTTAAATGTTGACGTCTTTCCAAATAACTGAATAAATTGTCATTTGTCAATATGAGAATCAAAAAAAATAAAATAACGAAAAAAATCATCAATTCTGTTCATATTTTTATTTTTTTATTTCCAACTTTATGATAAAAGATTTTTATTCAAAATATACTTCGTATTAATTTTGATAAAAAAATATTGTGATAGCTTTCAATACATTCCGTGGTTGAAAAAGCACTTTGACGAATCACAAAGAACTAAATCTCTGTTTTATTGTTATTATAAAAAAAAAAGTTACTTCACAAATATCTACTTTATACAGTTTCAATGATGGCATTAATTAGATAAAATCTCCAATGAGATAAGATACTATTGACCTATTTTTCTAGTGAAAATACTTGTCATTAATTATTTCAAAATAATTTAATGTTGCCATTACTAAAAAATATATCACAAGGGAATATTATTAATGTTAATTAATATTTAATATACAGCCTTTATTTGATTATTCATGAATAAACATACTCTCAGCGTAACGTAATAGTGTTATCATTGAAAGGTTTTATATGACGAGCATAAATATATACATTTCCTGCCATTATGTCCGTCTGTGATATTCATCAAGTATAATCTTGTGAATACATTTCAATAAGATTTGTATTGCGTTGTCACTACGAACGGTATGTGGTTGACCTAAAAACTGAGCCATGGTTCATTCAAATATTTTTTTTTTCAAAGAGAGAACGGTATTCTTTTTTTTTAGCGACACTATTTCTTGTATTTTTTTGTTTCTATAATGTACAAGCCGTAAAGCTTTGGCATTCTGTAAGTGTAATTTTTAAGGGCCATAATGTTTGGACACGGCTTTTTATTATTTTATTTTAGTTTTTAACTAGTAACGTAAAGCAAACACCATTAACAATATAAATGAATTCATTGTTGGGCGAATGAATGTGTATTATAATGTCGCGAAAAATGACTCATTCATTCCAGTCCTTCACCTACTAAGGAACAAGACAATCTTCTTAACGATTCTACAGAACATAATAGGCTTTGGTTACAGATTTCTCTTTGATGATTCAGATTTCAGAATAGATCAAGTTAAATAAGATGTTCTTGAAATTATTACGGTGTTGATAATTAATATCTAGTTTAGAATTATTTTAAATGTCAAGGTCATTTTGTAAATTAAAACTTAGTGTTTTGTTTAGACTTTGGAATTCTCTTAATTGTTACTAAGAAGAAAACTAAGAATGGACAGCGAAATATTACAAAAACAAAAATGTTGAACTAAGTGTAATGTTTCGTGCAAGAAAGAGTGTTTTCAAAATAAACAGTATAACACAGACACAAATAAGGAATAGAAAATTATACGAAAATGAAGTATTTCATGACTTTTAATATCACTTGCACACAGGACAACATTGCGACAGTAAAAAAACAACAACACGTATACACAGAATGAATGACATGTGGCCACTACAAACAGATCAGCGTGGATGAGCCCCTAGAGAGCCGAGCTAGCATGCGGGGTGGAACACATACGTGGGCGTGAGGAGACGTGATCGCGCGGCACAGGCAGGCGTGAGCGGGCGCCACCTGGTAGTCCATGTAGTTCCCGTAGCCCATGTGGTCGCACGTGCAGGCACAGGTCTCGATGTGCCTCCTCAGCTCCAGCTCGATCTCCCAGGGCGGCTCCATGAGCGCGCGCCGCGGCGTGCCCGCGCCTCCGCGCGCTGCCACTGCGGGCCCGGGCCGTGCGCGGGCCGCACCTGCGCGAGGCCACCTGCCGCCCCGCCTCCCGTGCGGCGCCCTTCAGCATGCAGCCGGGGTGCAGCCTTCAGGGGCGCCGGCTGCGGTCGCGGCGCGAGGCTCCAGCTAGCCCGGGACGCAGGCCGCCGGGCGACTGGCCGCGTAGGGCACCAAGGGGAGCGCGAGGACGCGCATAGCGAGGCGGCCGGCTGCCGGCAGGGGAATGCCGCGGCCGGGTCGCTCGCAGAGCCCGGGCGGCCCGGCCGCGCCGGCGCCCCGAGCTCCACGTGACACTTCTCTCCACCCACCGCCCTCCGCGCACAGCGGCGACCGTCCGCCAGATCTTTCGGATGCACAATCCTCGACTTCAATTTGCGCTGAACAGGTAGATACTTATCTGCATTGTGTATATTACATTCGAGAACGATCAAGATCCTGTACATTCTATTTCATGTCAAATATTAAACAACACGAATATTTGGGACATATTTTGACAATGTTACCTAAAAACATAGTTTAAGCTTCTTTGTCATTATATAAATACATATATACTTAATCATGATACCTTTTTTTATCCTTATTGTATTTATAAAATGTTCCATTTTCTTATATTATAAAGGAAACTGTAAAATAAACCTGTCAGTTAATAATTATGTCTTCCATGGTCCATGAGTACTTTCTACAAACGACTAATGAAGTCATTTGTTATTTGATTCTTTCTTTGGAAGGAATTTTCATTCTGAAGAGCCGTGAGTTTCATGTCAAAATTCACACAAATTTGTATTGAGAAAGACGAGACAATGTATTTGTATGAAAATAAAAAATATCTTTACGTCACTTAAAACAAAAAGATAATTATTCTTAGTTATTTTACATGTACCTAATGTTATTTATTTTTAATTACAAAACATAAACTACCAGTAAAGTTGGTTTAAAAGTATCATATTATTTAATTTAAGGCTAATATTATTATAGGAAAGGGAAAACATTATTGTAGATGGAGATATCTCTATCTCATATTTTAGCAAACACTATTTACAATCTTAAAGTTGTGTTTGATTTTAAGGAAGGAAGACGAAGGCATACACTCACTTTTTTAAACTACCATTCTATCCATATAAATATAATATATTATGTTTTTAGCTATCAGGATTTAGGATATCCCGGAGAGAATACTGATCATTCATCATACACCAAAAGAAAGGATTATAATATACAACACGAATATTTCCGTGGGTTAACGCATGATAAACTTTAAGTTTTTTTAAACTATCTCTATTTATTTATACATTGTGAAAGTTATTGTACCTAATTATTACAGAAAATTCAAAATATCAGCCCTATTTTTTTTGTGCTTATATTATGGGGATTGTTTGTTACATTACGTTATAGGTAAGAATTGGAAAAAAAATAGGTATGAAATATATTATATTATATTTAAATAAAGCAAGAAGCACCTATATATCCGATAAGGGTGAGTTAACAGACATACCAATATGTTCCAACTACAATCCTAGTTGACCCGGTCAATCTTGTATCACCCATAATTAATCCGGGTGCAGGTAATTGAATTTTTAGTTAATAATGAAGCAATTAAAAATAATACTTAAAGATCGTTGTAACCTTTTAGTCAAATTAGTAGCTTTTCCTTATTTTCTTTTCTTTTAAATTTGTCTTAGTCAGTTAAGAAGGAACTTTTCCTTATATATATAAACATAAATATAGGATCAACAAAAGATACTACTTTCGTTTATTCTGATTTTATTTAACACAATCTATAGTACTCGTACGTAAAACTTAAAAATATTTTATGCACGATGTTTTAAAATTAAATTCAGCATAAGGAATAAACCGTGTGATGTCCATTGAAACAATATCTATCCACAAAAAAACATATCGTTTAATGCCGAAGCGTTGCTGAGGCGAGGTTTAAAACAAAAATAAGAGTTGGCGAAAATAAAAAGGGAAATCTCATCCAAGTGGAGAATGCAATAAAATATTCATGTTCTCAAAAATAAAGTATTTTTTTTATATGGATGAAATCTATACATGAATTTTAACGTGATTCCATACCTTGCTAATTCGATAAATTCATTAACAGTATCTGTGACATGGACTGTGTTGTTGTTTAAATTATATTAATCAAGTTTGTTTACAAATAAACGGAATATTATTTGCGGAGCAACAATTAAAGCGACCTTTCCGTACTCACTACTCAACGAATTGAGACCACTCGAGGTTCTAGTTTTTGATTACATTTTTCGTGTATCCAGAGACAGATCAAAGGTATAATTTGCATTTTTATCGACATAGCTACTTTTGAAGTGGACGTTTTTTTAAATAAGGATAATGATTTTTTAAATTAATGGGGTTGCATGACAATTTTTTTATTTATAGAGTCGAATATTATAAATTATTTATGTGCTTGCCGTTTTTGCTTCTGAAGAAAAACGACAAGAGTAATTTAGCTCTAATGAAAGTTTAACTTCTAAAACAAAAGGAATAATTTTTGGAAAGTATTTTTATGATAAAGACCGGACCAAATTATAATAATGATGCAATCAAATGCAAATACATAAGTGTCTATTTGATTTAATTAATGTAATATCATAAACATGATAATTTGCAGCACTACTTTCAATGAATCCACCTTAATTAATAACAGTATTTTTGCTTAATCTTATTTATTGAAGATATCGAGTCTGAAAATATTGAAAACCAGTTTTGTTACAAACAAAACCATTTTTTTCTTTTTAAATCATATTTATATAACTCGATGTTTTCCATCAGAATGGATTTCTGGACTGTCGCCAGTCATATTCTTTATTCCCATAAAGATTTTGCAATTCAATTAATTTGATAAAATTAATTAAATTAATATTGTGAAATGAATATTGAGTAAATATAATTTGCAAGTTCGATTCTCTGATTTTATACGCAGTTAATGCAAATTAAATTTGTGTAGAAATATAGTACTTTTAAATAGAAAAGAAGAAAAAAAAATATAACCTAAAACTGACATAGTTTATGTAAATTAGTTAATGAATTGTTATGTAAATTAATATTTTGTGAAATGAGTGAAAGTATCTTTAACGTTTAGTTAGAATATTAAAATTCTTTGTAAATATGTACGAGTATTCTATTATTTTATATTTTTAATGTAAATTGCTATAATCACTAGCGCCATAACATGGCATCACATTTTCCATCGGATAATTCTTTAAGCGGCAGAAGGTACTGTTTATTCGTTAAAATGTTTGCGCATTTATTATTCTATTAACATAACAATAATATATAAATATACAAAATATATAGAAGAATTAAAACTCTAGCCGTAATTCTGTTGTACAACGCAAGGCTCAGTTTGCCTCCCCGTACATTATCGGGATCTTATGCGACACAAACATCTGCTGCTTAAAGTGCGGTAAAAGTTAAACAAACAATGTTGTTCAGAATGTATAAATTTAAGAAACTTTTTAATGCGTTTAACGCGAACAACCGCAGGCGGCTAAAAACCGTCTTACTTCTAATTTCACCGAAGCCTCGCAAATGAGAACGCTACTTTGCTAAAGTGGTGCAATATACATGTGGAAATTAAGGCGGGTTAAAACTAACTGACACAGGTCTAGTGAAGTACGATAAAAACTTGGTTTTATATCTTTAATATAAGATACCTATAGTATATAACTTTTCAACACTAGGTATACATATACTTAGTAGTTTAAATTAAGGCTTTCGAAGTATTTAAAACGGCGGACATAAGGATTTTTGCCGTTCTTTTCATTGTAATATGCATTCAATAATAAAAACTTTTTTTAAACATCACCTAAACATATTCATCTCTTTTCTTACTTCAAACTATATCCAGAGGTAACGATAATTGTGCAATAATCATTCCATCTTCTATAGATTGCAGCTCGTGTATACGTTTATCTCCCTGCACTATTCCAACGCTTTATCAGAAAATCTTCGTGAGAATAACCGTGCTATATCATTTTGCGTTTTACTCAATGAATGAGAATGGGAGACCTAAGTGTCTCTTTTATCCTGCGTTAACAATTCTATTGTTTCCCTGCTTTACTCTCTAACACCAATAACCTTTACAGCAACACAACTAGGACTACCATCTGAACAATTGAATAGAAAGCCAGTAGCTTGTGACCCTTTTGTCATCTAAAAATAAAGGAATTTTTAAGGAAACTATACTTATTTGACGGCTTGAGAAATTGTTTTTTTAATTTTTTAGATAACAATGATCGTATACGTATTACGTATGAAAATAAGAAAAAAATAATAAAATCAATATGAATTTTCAACTTAAATTCACTTTATAATAATTTGGGATATTAAAATATTTATTAAAAAGAAGAAGTAAGTTTCTGTGATCAATTTGAAGTCATCTTGATTTTTAATTTTTTTTCCCCGTACCCACCCATGTAATAAGCTACGAATTACTTCAATTTCTTTGTAAGTTAATAAAATAAGGCGTAACTATGGATTAAATTGTTAAGAGAAGACTTAAAATACCACCAACTATTGGAATACTACAGTAACATCGATACCTCAGTTAAATTAACATGTCATGTAATGTATATATCTGGGCAGCATCAACGATTGTACCGAGCTGTTCGATTTTGTTTGTTGAATCGGTCTGGATGGAGCAAGGAGGCAGGATGCGTGCGCACAGTCGCTACTCAGATGGCAGCGAGAGCGGCAGTCGCTATGAGGCGAGCGCGGAGTGTCACAGGGCCCTTACGGCGAGCCCATCCCGCCTCCGGGGCCACCTGGAATGTCCAGGTAACAATCACCAAAAACACACCTCATCACAACCCTGAAACATCACACCAAAACACACAAACACGAACTTACGTTAAGCCAACTGCGTGAGTGACAACCCTATATTTGTTTAACGACAAATCATGATGTGAACGATCAGTGATCAGAAGATAAAATCAACAGTTGGCTTAATACTTGTTGCGCGTCTCATACTTACGAATACATTTAAACTATTACCATCCCGAGCAACGGGTGAATAAATACATACAGTGTAGGAAATAGAGAACGTTTGAGAAAAAAACTAAATCCGACATCATCTCCTTTATTTATATGTTCTTTGTGATGGACTTAAATGCATGTCTCCTTTGTCTTAAGCATGACAAGTCTTGTAATAGAGATGTGAAGAGGAAGGCAGGCTTAAGGCAGTTTGCATTACGCAGGAAGCGAGCACTACAGCCGAGTGCAGTACAAAACGTTTTACGTGAACAAACTCCACTACAATAGAGCGCTTAGAATCGCAAGTGGGTGCATTCTGAATTCTTTATGTTGACGTCGCGACGTCTGCATGCTATCTCCAAACAAAGGGATGGAAAATGCGATCTCATATACATGTTTTACAACACGTGCTAGCTTTGCAGGATAAAGGGAGTGACGAGAGAGCGCCAAGAATCTTGATACAGAAAACGAAGAGGATTCAGAATGTAAACATTGAACCCTAAAGTTACCGTTACGTATGAAATTATAAATGTTCTAAAATTGTTTATAAATTTACAGATAATGTTGTTTTTATGACGATAATAATTTGTATATATTTTTGTGTATAATAATTTGTATATATTTGTGGAATATTCCAAATTACTGCCTAATCATTGTTGCAGATAATTTTCAATATTTATTATGAAGGATATAATTTAATATGCATTTTTAAACGGAAACCGTAATAATAAAGATTATAAGAATAGATACTATTAAATGCATAGTACCTATAGTAATCTCACTATTATTAAGATGTAACAAATTTTAAAGTTATTTTATTATTTAAAATACTTTACAATTCATTGATATTATATAATTTGGATGTTACTTAAATATGAAAGTATTTTTTCAGTAAAGAAAGTTAAACTTACATCTATAAAATTATCTACGTCTATAAATTGGTGCATACAGCATAAGTCAAAATTTAGGTCATCAGATTTTCTGTAGACATCCAATTAAACTATTTATCAGAGCTTTAAAGTGACGCTCGTATCCGTTATAATTTCGAGCGCCATATCTAACACCAATGAAAATGTTCAGTTCACAATATGAAATTACTCGTTAAAGGTTGAAACAGATTCTGAACTTGTATTAAACCTACATATTTTCATATCATACATACTCTTCTTCTTCCTAGCAATTTCCCAGCTTTAGCCAGGGTCTGCCTCAATTTATACATACTATTTAAAACAAAGCAGTCGATTTGGATTTCCTTAATGCATATCTTGAATAGAATGTATTTAACATGAAAAATGTTTGACCGAGTTTCTTTGTAATCTTATATTTGTGTGAAATGTAAGTTCCCTTACCGTCGTACAAGTTTCCTATAGAAGCAATCGGCATAATGTCTCTCCATTTCTCCCACGCTCCACTTACAATGCTCCCCGTTAACACATTGGAACCGCAATTATCTTTAATATGGGAACGTGAGTATTGAAATTACATGACGCCACAAATATGAAATAGCTTTTACTGATTTGCAAATTACATACGTGACTTGTAGCTGTACTTATAAATGTATGGATAAATCGAAGAATATTTATATTTTTACAGGTATTTAAGTGAAATGAAACAATAAATCCATCTTCTTATACTAATACTTTTTGTGTTAATTAAGGTTATACAGAAGTAAAGTTGCACTAAACCCTTTAAAATAGTCATTATTTGAAAGTAAATATCATATTTTTAAGTATATGTGCATTGTTTTTACTAACATAAGTTTAATTAAACAAGGTAATGACTAGTAAGAAGTGTAAAGACATCAAGTGTAACAAGACGAACAGACAGACATTCACATCTCGTCTGTCATTGATCGCGGATGCTGAAAAGTACCCGAAATGTTTGGAGTATTGAGTTTTTAAAATAATGCAATACGCGTAGTATTATCCCAAAACTATTAAAGTATTTATGTGTAAAGGTATTTTTCATTTAATAATCCTTATATTTCCAGGTGGTCCGGGGCAAGATGAGTTCTCAGTGTCTGTGGCACGCGTGCAGAGCGCTGTCCGCCGGCCTCTTGCTGATGCTGCTAGGAGCGGCAATGGCAGTTATAGGTAATGTATACAAACAGTAATATTCTACACTTTTAGATGATAATATAACAAATAAAATACACACACACATATATATATATATTTATATCTTTGTCATAACATTTTCTTAATTTAAAATCTATATCAACGTTTACATAAAATTCTAATTATTTTCAAATCATAAACACGATACTCTTAAGTAAGCATATTCTTGTTATATTTTCAAACCAAATTAAAATAAGAATCTTAAAACTATACTACAAATTATTCTATTACAAATTTTAATATTAATAAACGTCTTAAATATTTCTATTCATCAATAGAGTAAATATTTTCTGAAAATATTATCTCATTATGTAATCTTCTTGATCGATTGATATAGTTTCAGATGCACTGTGTTAATAGTAGACTAAAGACTAGAAGCTTCAGGAAATAAACAATAAATCTTCTTGTTATTATAATTAATTACATTATCTTGTTCTTATAAGTAATTGAAATGTTTAACTATTTCTTAATTTACTTCTAAGGCTATATACGCTTTGAATATAGAAGTCATAGAAATGTTTCTTAATAAAATGCTCAACAACAACATAATCTTCACGCTTAGTGAATGTTATATTGCCAGTAATTCTTTTAAGATTAATAATATAAATCAGTTTTAATTGTTTTCATTCATTCATAACTGAATGAATTCAATTAAGTTGATCGAAAGTTTAATTATAAAGCAAAAGAGTATGTACATTATAAACGTAGGTATATGCTCTGTGTATCTATTTATCAAAAACAAAATTAGCAAAAATATACTATAGTTTTTAACGTTTTAAATAAAAAAGGATTTCTGCTGCGGTGAACACAGTCTATCAAAATATCTAACAAACGGATATGTTGAACCAACTTTAGTTTCATAAATTCTACGACTTCAATTTTTTGCTATTATCTCAAGCGATAGTTTGTATATTTGAAAACTTTTCCACGTTTTATATTTGACCTGTACAGTTGAATTACCTGTTATATAATAATTGATGATACTTTTAAAGATTGGTAAAAATAATACTTTTATATTATTTTGTATACTTAATATATTTATTATAATATTTAAGATAAACATTTAAATGAAACACTGAAGCTTATTGTCCCTAAAACTTTTAAATGATGCAAAAATTGTTTCAAGATTTTAAAATTAGTCTTTTCTTTTTAGAAAAAAAATATTCTTTTATTATAAATTGCCTACTTGTACACTTAATAGTGAAAAACTTATTTGATGCTCATTGTAACGAAATATTAAAATCTGTCTCATGCAGATGACATTTGAAATATAGGAACAATCCTAAAGTTTCTTGGATCTGGACTCTGGCGTTTTAAGATAAGAACGTTTTAACCCAGTTTGGTTTTGAATGAAGTGGGGCAAGGGACGTTGGAGAAATGGCTAACCTAGCAAATATTGTATGAACCATATATTATCTATATATTTAAGCATTTTCTCTATATTTCGAATAGATTTGAACAGTTTGCCTCTTAGTTTCCTTCAAGTTATAATTTAAATATCTTAAAGAAAATGATGAATAAGTTACCGAGATAGTGAGTTATCACCAACGAATTTATTTCAATCTTTCAAAAAGTAGAATAATAGTCAAGCATTATCCAGTTAAGAATTTAGGTCATTGTTATCATCATCAGCCTATCAGAGCCCACTGGTAAGCAAAGGCCTCTTCTCACATGGACAAGATTTGAGCATTAAATACCACGCCTGCTCAAGACGGGTTGGGGATTTCAGATTTATTTATTTATTTTATTTATTTATTTAATTTAAAATTCGAGCAACATAAGACTCAATTTGTTAGTAAAAATACAAAACTTAAAAACTACCTTAGTATTTATTATTGCTTCACCATCCCACCAGAGATGGCGCAATCTTTATGTTAGTGCTGTCTTAATACTCTTAGAAAGTATATATGACTAAGAAAAATCCCATTGGTACTTGCCAGGTTTCGAACCCGTGTATAAAAGGCGGGAATTTAACCTTTAGGCCAATACGAAGTAGAATTTATATATATTTGTGTTATGTTTTGTATCCTTTTTTCTTGACCTTCATAATATATAAAATTTTTCGTAATAATGTAATGTTGTAAAGCTTTAATAGTTACTAATAATAGTTTTAACGTCGTCTGTGCGTTCCATGTTTCCTGCAGTCCGACAACTTCACTCCCACATCCGGCTGGGATTGTGTCAGTGGACGTTTAACGCTCTTTTCACTTACCCTTCCTCATATTCTATTGTTCTCAAGACAATGACGAAAAGATAGTTGAATGTTTGCTATTTTGATACGAAATTGACGAAACAAAAAACTGTATACACGCAGCGTAGTATTCTTACTTATTAATAGTCAATAACTAATTTTTATTATTTTATTTTAGCTGATCATAATTAAATATGTCGTTTTATTTAACATTAAGTAAAAACAAAAACAGAACAGAATCATTGTGTTTATAAGGAGAATATTGTTTGTGTAATAAAATAAACCGAAGTTAAACGAAGTCAAACAGAAAACATGAAAATTTAAATTTTAAATTGCAATGTTGCCGTATTTCCACAAACACTCATATAGGAGTGAATATTATTTGTCTGTTAACAACAAAATTCGATTCTGGTTACTGCAAAACGAGTTTTAGTTTACTTTCAATGATTCCAATTGCAGTGTAATATTTTGTATTGCAAAATGCTTACGATCATTTTATATTTCGATATTGTTTAAAATAAATACGAATAAAGATTTTTCTCGCAACGGCAGAGGATTTTATTTTTATAGAGAGAAATTGCTTATTTGTGTTGTTTGTGCACACGACTATTTGAGCAATTTAGACCAGTTATTTACTTTAAAGAATTTAAATAACTTCTGTACGTGATAAAATTCTTTTTAGTCCGGCCTTTTAACGCTTTTTCAAAGGTCTTTTCCTAGTCTCAAAATTTCCTTAAGTATAAGAGTCTTTATAATTTGACGTTTTTGATCAAAGCGGGTCAGACGTATTGAAATACGTCGTGAAGTATCGTATTACAATTATATATAGTAGCTAAAATTAGAACATTTGAATTATTTGTACCTATAAATACATTTCTTATGTCTTATATTAGTAAGCATAAAACTCATTTACACTGGATTTATTCCAATTATTAAATTGAACTAAACTAATATTGTCAAAGTGAAATTACTTATACATTTTATTAGAATATACTATACAAAGTTAATATCTATTTCAATAGTTTTTAGAGGCCGGATTCCTTTTGTTCGTCAACACCCTAGTTTCCATACACAAGATCTGAATGTTCTTTTCACGGGTGACATTTCGACATGCATGTGACGAGGGTATAAAATGCTTACATCAATCCGTAAGATCTTTTAGCGAACATTATGTGATCTTAAAACTAAATGTATTGTTGTAATAAAACTATTTTATACTATAAAATTGACAAAATTAACAGGAGTAATTTGAGACTTGTTGCATTTTTAGTAATTTATATATGTATATAGAAAAAAGTAAGACGAAACTTAATTATATAAATGCTCAATTACACATACATACATTATTTTAATTCTATCTTAGATGTTAAAATAAAAGCATATAATAATTTTTGTATGTAATATTAAACAGTATGTATAATGAAAATCTTTTATATATTCGTGTTGTTTAAATAATTCATAATTCTAATGAAACAAGCGAATATCACGAATAGACTGATTTATTATTCTAGGTGGAGTTAGGTTCATAACAATTGTTACACATTTAGCAGCAGAGATGGCGCTACTAGTATTTAAAAGATTCATATTCTGATAGATCTAGCAACAATAATAATTGAAATATTTGCAGGTTACTATGCTGATACGTTGTCAGTGGCTGAAGAAGTTCGTGGAAACTCAACTGTATCAGTGAAAGATGAAGCGAGAGGCTTTCATCTCAACAACCTGTCTTACGCCGGACCCATTGTTATGGGATTTGGAGGTACTACTTTAAAATAGTCTTATAAATATTTAAAATAAAGGGAATATTTAAAATTATGCTTAGTATAGCTTTTAGACGAAATATGTAGAAAATTTTGTTGGTTTAATTTAAGTTTCATAAACATATAAGTCATCTACAAGAGTAATTGAATAGATTTTAAATCTATCATAAAAAGCCCTGTATTATTAAATATTTTGTTTTCATACAGTCGTGTTGATATTGAATTGAGTTTCTATTCACGGAAAATGTTAGATACTTAACTGCTGGTTACAAAAATTACCTAAAGAAATGATCTAATTAATATTTATAATAGTGAAATCACAATGTTTCATCCATTCCTTTTATGATAATAACATTAATAACAATACAATTTCCAGGTTTCATAGTAGTAGCAGCCTGCGTCATGACATTCGAGGCTCGTGATAGCGCGGCCAAAGTGACCCCCGCGCGACCCCAGACCATCCCGCGACCCCTACCTCGCCGAGGTCAATGTGCCCCCGCGAGGCTGGACACACTCGGGGTGTACAGACTCCCCCACGTCCTACCACTACCACACTCACTGCCACTCGCACCAGTCAGGGTACGGCCACACGTTCATAGGTGAGCTAGATCTACATATATATTATATGCTTTTAATTAATTAATGTGTATATAAGTCATAGTTAGCTCGGTCCCCGGTAGACTCGATATATATCAGTCAGCTATCATCACTAGAACTCGCCTAATAAACTCGCCTGGTATCTATATATATGAGGACAGACGGAGAGATAGGTCAGACAGTGTATGTACAGAACCAGTGGAGATAAAGCTAGAAATCGCGCACGTTTCGGCTCCGCTCCGGACTTGAGGAGCGGTAGCGGCCTCGCTACGCCGTCCGTAACCGCGCTACGACGGCCGCTACGACGCTACGCGCTATCTGTAGACGAGCCGCCGCATTCAGCAGTCAGGTAAACATTTAGCGGGATTCCATTATGATTATGGAATCCAACATTTACATCATATCATATTTTTGACTAACCTCCGCTTTGCTTTTTATGATTACTGCTAAATATAAATTATACAATTTTAAACTATTTATTTTTTTAAAAAGCAAAGCTCATATTCAGACATTTCCATTGTTGCGTATCATTTATGTTATTGAATGCTTTAAGATGCTTGACTTATTGCTATTAATACTAGCTTCAGCTCTTGCCGTAGTAGCATGCATGCATGTAGAATCCCTTGATAAATTAAACAATATAATTTATTAAATTTAAAAACTTTAAACTATACATAGATTTTTATAATAAAGCATTATTATTGTTACAATTTTATTCTTTTTACTATTTCTATTTTATATGGGATATATAATTAATACCGGCGATTTTTTTGGTCTAAAAACCCAGCACCATTATCTATAATCAAACCAAGCACCAATTCCATACCCAGCGCTAGTGCGGTGGAGTCCGAGTGCGGGTCCCAGTCTTCGTTGGCCTTGGATCTTCACGCGAGCGGGGCCTGTGCTGGCGTCACGCTCAGGGTCAGAGACAACACGAGGAGACGACCGCTCGCCAGACAACAGAGACTCAACGAGGATACTATACACCGTTAGTGGGATGACTGGAAAATAAAAATTACGAATATATATAGTATATATGTGTGCATGTGCGTATGTGTGAGTGTGTGCAAATAAAAATTACTCGATACAACGTGGATTGAGAGAGACTGTTAAGCACTAGAATCTAATTTTCAAGAGATTCAGAGTTCGGAGAATCTTGCTCGCATCTATGAATTAAACAATTTAAACTTCTATTTCAGTTTCAACCTATCTCAGCCGAAAATTGCCTTAAAATGACAACATGATTATAATACATAGTATAACTGTGTTTAAATCAATACAGTTATTGAAACGGAGTGTACTTGAAATTATATAGAGCAAAAGTTATATGCGTGTTATTTATTATATGTAGATATAGATAATAGATTGTTACATCATACTATATACAAATATGTATGGGTGAATGGAAAAGTAAGTCAACCTAATATTTTATAAGATGAAATAACATCTGCCAGGTGATATTTCTACTCATTTTGATCGATGACTTTACGTCTACTTGGTAGAGAATTAGAGATACATATATAAATGTACATTCAATAAAGTAACATTTTCAAATCGTCTAGAAATAACAAAATCCAACATAAGTTAACATTAACGCAACACTATTCTTAAAATATTAACATGAATAATGCTAATTTAATTTTCTAGCATCCGGTGAAAGCGCCGGCCATGCAGCCAACACACGTCAGTTACCGAGGTAATAAAAAACATAAAATATACTTACATATGAAAATTTTCTTCCTCTAACGTTTTCCCCTTCATGTTTCAGAAACAACGAACAGAACGAAACCGTGGGAACCACTCAATTAACTGTAGAGCAAGAGGCGCGTGCGTGTAGTGCCCCCCCTATAACTCATTCCACCCCAACCTCCCCAGTACCAGCCATCACTCCCCCCATATCTCCTAAACAGGACACAAACATCATCATCGAACAGCCAGAGACAGAATCCACGGACGAACCTCCGCCGGCCGAGTGAAGTCTCACACACAGAGACTGATAAACATGAACCCTTTGTAAGAGTTTTACACATATACAGTTTATACTTTGTAAATTGTATTTTATAACGAATTGTTTATTGTTGCTAATATTTCTATCGTTTATGCGTGGAGTCGGTACTTGAGTATGTTCTTTACGAGGTTCGTCCGGTTTCTTTGTGATCGCGCGGTTCAGTACAAGTGCTTCTTCGAGTATGTAACTAGATTGTAACAACTTCATTTAGTACTTTACAACCCCTTAAGGTAAAAGACTGATAAAAGCGAATTTTTAAAAAAGAATAAACCACTTATTTCTAAACAATAAAGACTAACATACAAATTAAATGTTTGAAATGATGAATTATAATGAAATAAATTAATGTATCTTATTACTAAATGTGTGTTTAAGTAAAACGTAATTATTTTTATTATACATACATCTACATAATATAATTCTATAATCTCAATTCCTGTCCATTATACTTAATCACGTGACTGTGTCCTTAAATATGTAAAAAATTTAAATTTTTCTCGTTTATAATAAATATTCTTTTAACCGATAATGAAAATGGAATTCTAAAAAGTAAATATTGTGATACATAAGTAGTTGTTACTTTTACTTTTTACTATAAATATTAGATGATTATAATGAAGTAGATACTATTATATCGAAATATTATGTTTTTGTAGATTTTAACATATTAATTCCTGTTTATATGTAGATATTTCACTGGGAATTTTCTAATAATTTGTACATATATACAAATATTTGTCATAATGGCTTCATTTGTCTTTGCTGTCTTAAGTCGATATACTTTACGCAATGGATATTTCTTTTTTTATAACACACATAATATAATTAAATAATTAGTTATTTTCTACCTTAATAAATACCCGAACCTACAATGTTGCGTGTACTTTTCTGTTTTTTTTTTTATGTACTATTTTATTTATTTACTATATTTTAAATTATTATTATTATTATTTTTATTTACTTTATTTTTAATCACCAACTCGTCTTGAGCAAGCGTGGTGATTAATGCTCAAACCTTCTCCATGTGAAAAAGAGGCCTTGCTCAGCAGTGGGCTCTGATAGGCTGATGACGAACTATATTTTATGCTTATTATAATATGTTAAATTTATTTGAAATGACAGATTTTTTAGTTTATACAATACTATATTTCTTCTAAAAACGAAGCCTAAACACCTAATCTATGTCCCAGATACTACGTCAATGAAAATTTGTACTTTTTTATATAAAACCTAGATGTATATATAGCACTTGTGATATAATTTCCAATTGAAATATGTAATAGAAACTCAAATTTATGAATGTATAATTGTGTGTTCAATTTCATTGATATACCTAAACGTATGTTCTTCGTGGAACTGAACCGCTGATTTGTAAATAACTTTACAAGTTCAGTTTTATATGGATGTTAATTATAATGTATCCTTATTTGTGTACATGTCGATGTATTGTAGATACTTGATCCAAGTGGTTGTTGTGATGTCTATTATACTTGTTGATGATGCTTTGCCTTTTATTTATCACACATAAACTTGTATATACTTATTTTATTAATAGAACTTGGTTAAAGGAGGTTATGGTTTTGATAATTTTACAACGATTTCTTTAAAGGTTTTTCTTGTTATTATACTTACAGTATTTTTATTTAAAGCCTCCGATATAGAAAAAAATGACGAACTTATTGTAACGTAATGCATTTACAATAGTTTGGAAAATTTTTAAGTCATACTTTCTCTAATATTTATATTCTGTATCCCAACGAAGTTTTAAAATATGTTTTATGTGTAAAGGAGCTTGAAATTTCCCAAAAGTTTTTTTACCTCAAGGAAGAAGTATAATTCGAAATATTTTTTGTAATTATTTTTATCTTTGTTCCAGTAATAACTTTTATAGAAAATTATGTAATATCAACTAGACCATTTATGAGATAAGCAGTTGTATTTGTTGAGTTACTTACAATTATATAACCTTTTTTGTCCAAAATCTGAAAACATGAAAAAATACTATTAGTTCATTAAATCTTCATAAAATTTAATTATTTTCAGTTTGCGTAAGTGATCCTAAATATAGACATATTTATTTAGAGTTTTAAAATGACGTGTTATTTTTAAAATAATAACATATAAAATAATACTTTGACATCAATAGGGGTTAAAATACATAAAGAAGATTTCCATTTATTTATTTATTAGGAAACGGAATCGAGAGCAAATAAAAACGTTCAGGAAAGAAACCCCTGTAAAAACCAATATTTAAATTTAAAAAAAACGTACAAAAACCCAAAACACAGCAGGACACATTATTCTTTTACCTCTCATTTGTGGCCGGCTGTAATGAGACATGCGATAAATGATAGAAAAATTTAACGTGAAAGAAATTTCCTTGATAAAAATAATACGATACAGTTTTGTAATGAAAGAAGCTGATATTGTTGTCGGTACAATGAATAGGATATATAAATGAATATGAATGAATACTTCTAGCATTGGTTTTGTCAAAAAAATATCAAATCTTTTATACAAGGATGTTAATTTTCTTTTACTTATTTTTGTAATGTCTGAATATTATCAACAGATTTAGGGAGTGAATGATTGTGTGGTTGCTTTCCGTTTTTTTATCAAATCAAGGTTTCATTTCTTATTTGAGATTCCTTGCATTTCAAAATATTTCATTTTTTTATTAGGTTTTGTGAAAAAGGTCGCGTATTTTCTTTAATATTTTATGAAACTGAAAATTTTATGATATGAAACATGATAAACGAATTCGTTTTAATATTTTTTACAGAAATTTATTAATTAACAGTACTTTTCAATTTGAATGTGGTTTAATATGGTTAGTTAATTAATTTTTTTTAAATAATTTCCTACTACCTGTCATAACATTTATGAGTGAGGAACTAGAATTTCCCCATAAATCTAATCTAAAAGTTGGAATACCCAAAACCTTTTCATCCCTTGCTACCTTATATTAGTATATAAGGTACATATTATTTTATAATATTAGGTAATTAAATTGTTTTCAGTTCTGTGTCAGTTTATTCATCTCTGTATATTAAATACATACATGTATCATTTCTTTGTTTCACCGTATACATACGTATATGTATTTATAAAAATTCAATGAAATATTACAAATCTAACTTGAGCATGGTTTTAAATGTAAGTACAATTAAATTTATATTAGCTACTAAAGCTTATTAATTTTTAAGTATATCTGAATAACAAGAAAGTGTGGAAGACATTAAAATTACTATCATCTAATTTTACAATTTAAAAAGACCCATGTGAATTTTTAAGAGGATTTTCTGGAATAAACTGCATTCTTACTGCAGATATCTTCCTTGCTTATAATCCACTTTGACGTGTTACAAGCAATGATTATTATTAAAACTACTTTTTAAATACTTTACATACAATCTAATGTTTAATAAAAACTATTTTAATAGTAATAACAGTTTTAAGTATAACAAATCAATTTTTGTTAATATCAATTCATTTGGAAAAATAAATATGACAAAAAGGGATTTAAATTTCTCGTTTCAAATATAAACATTTTCTTTTTTAATTACTTGTTGATTAATTTGGAAACCTGAAAAAAGGGATAATTTATAAATAATAATAATAAAAATAAAATTATGTATATATGTACTTTAATAGGTAGTACCTATTCGAACACAATAATTGTTTACGTCAAATAAAATGAACAAAACAAATCCATATATTTGTAAGGTTTCATATAATTCTAACGCCCGTAACCATCTTTGTTGGCTAACAAATCTGCTGAGATCTGTGTCACTGAAATCACACTAATCCTATCACCTTTAATCCTTATCCGCGGAATCCCTTTAGCGTTCTCATGATATATAAACGAACAGCTACGAGGCTAACCAGCAGTCAGTCTGTGGTATGGGATGGGCGTTGCACACTACCGAGGACTGCTCACACAATGATCCCGACTATCACTATGGACAACGAAACTGACGACTTCAACGTCTATGGCGCGTACTTCGCACCGCTCAGGTAAGAAAGCTTATCTAATAGAAACATATAGCCTATAAATACAAAGCTTAATATATGTAGACATGCAATTTTTCCCCTAAAAAAGCATTGAATTCTATATAGTAAGTCTGGATAAAAAAAGAAATTATAGCAGCCAGTATTATGCCTATGTCTTTCTGTTTTATATCTATACAATGATCAAATTTAATTTCTCTAACGATCATATTAGATGGGTACCATTAATATCGTTATTTTCCAGGTCCAGCGATGGTATGAAGATGCTGATAGACGGTCTGACAGGCGAGGATCTTGCAGCAGTACCGGAGCACTGGCACACATACACCTCTCCACCAGCCAGCGCCCACACGGCCCTAGCTCTCCTCTACACCTTCTTCACGGCTGCTGCACTCATTGGAAATGGAATGGTCATATTCATTTTTCTAACGTACGTAAAACACAGCTTGTTGGAATTAGCCTATTTACGGTTAAATTTTAAAACTAAACCTAAAACTAAAACTACACCTGGGTCGCAAGTCCCAGGCACTATTGAAGGTGACCCGGTACCCGCACGGTGCATCCATTGAATGCTAAGAGGTTTCGTCTCTATATTTCATGAGCAACTTGAGCTTAAAAACAAAGCTATAAAGGCTTTTATTTATTTTCACGGAGTTTCTTCAAAGGTTTTTCTTTTCCAGAACGAAGAGTTTGCGGACATCTAGTAACTTACTGATTCTAAACCTCGCAATAAGCGACTTCATTATGATGGCCAAAGCTCCACTCTTCATATATAACAGCGCATTGCGCGGCTTTGCAGCGGGAGATCTGGGTTGTCAAATATTTGCTCTAATGGGTTCCTATAGCGGTATCGTAGCGAGTATGACCAACGCTTGTATTGCTTACGACAGGTAAATTAATTCAGCATTTAAAATATTTGGTGCCCATTAAACATTTATATAGAAGGTCTACATTATTCATACATACATATATATTACTAGAAAAAATTGCGGATCAAATTTGTTTTTAATGGCTGTATCTTTGTTAAACATTGTCGTAACGAGAAGATATTTACATTAATACATGATTTTTTTTACAAGATGCACCACTTAATTTTTTTTATTAAAGACAGAGTCATCTGAAAAATTGACGATATTTTTTTTATTCCTCTTTTTTTCTACATTATATTTTTAATAATTGCCTTGATTCATGCAGACATTCGACTATCACTCGACCGCTTGACGGGCGACTGTCACAAGGGAAGGCCTTGTTGATGATAGCTTGTGTATGGATATACGCGACGCCCTGGTCGCTTCTACCACTGTTCAAAGTATGGGGCAGATTTGTACCAGGTAAACAGCAAATTTAATATATAAAAATATAAGCATATTTATTGTTATTCAATATAACTTAAGCTCACAAATAAATAATCCCTCTTCGAGAAATAATCGCAAAAAAATATTGTACACATTTCGCATGAATATATGCCATACATTAATCAATTGAATTATTTTATATATTTTTAACAATTAAAAATTTTCGATTAAAGATGTTATTTATATACACTTTATTAAACATATATGTAATAAGTTAAAAAAACTGAAAAAATCGACTAACAATATTTATTTCTAAGTATAAACCCAACAATATTATAACATACAAAAAATAGACAAGATCAATATTATTTTGAGAGTGATGTACCACATAAATATACTAAAATACTGCTATAATTACATAATATATAAATTGTAATATATTTTTTTCCAGAGGGCTACTTAACATCATGTACTTTCGATTACTTGTCCAACACTTTCGACACTAAATTGTTCGTGGCGTGTATATTCACTTGTAGCTACGTCTTCCCTATGAGCATGATCATATATTTCTACAGTGGGATTGTCAAACAAGTGTTCGCACATGAAGCAGCATTGAGGTACAAATTTAAAACTATAAATACATTTCACACTTTGTAACATCAGGCGTTGATAAACATCGTTTCATAATAAAAATTCTAAAGGTTCATACAGATTTAGACATAAAATTAAGTGTATAATGGTATTTTTATCTTAAATCAGAGAACAAGCGAAGAAAATGAATGTTGAATCTCTGCGTTCGAATCAAAACGCCTCTGCGGAGTCTGCTGAAATAAGAATTGCTAAAGCTGCTCTGACTGTTTGCTTCCTATTTGTGTCATCTTGGACGCCGTACGGAGTGATGGCGCTCATAGGAGCATTCGGTGATCAGCGACTTCTAACACCCGGGGTAACTAAATATTATATTTTTCTTCGTTAGTTTCAATACAGCTAAAGTTTCTTTGGTACTGAACTTTTTGTTTTTCTTCGTTACTTTAAATAAATCGAAAGTTTCATTTTTAGCTTAGTTTTTACTTGAATGCTTACAATTTCTATTTGAATTTTTGCCTGCTAAGGAAATAGTTATTAAAAAGTTTTCACCTTAGATTTCTCAACTACCTTTCTAACACCTTATTTCGGATAATACATGTACATATATAGTTTGATTGGTATTCAATAAAAATATACATAGTTTTATACTGGTAAATATATAAAATAGTAAATTAATTATATGTTACTATATGTTTAATTATTCTCACAGGTAACTATGATCCCAGCCGTAGCGTGCAAAGCTGTAGCATGCATCGATCCTTGGGTATATGCAATCAGCCATCCCAAGTACAGGTGAGTTACTTTAATGGTCATTTATATATACAATTGACTTATTCTTATTACCTCATATCATATCGTAATAAAAAAACTACTTATCTGCGGATAAATAAGTAGAACATATAATTATTAAGATTTGTTTATTCTTAACGTAGCCAGGATAAATGAAAAATTAAAAAGTAGTTGAATATTTAAAATTTAAAGCAATTGAAATAATATTTGATGCTTTTAAACGAAACTAATATTTTCGGATTTTACTTCGCGTTTTATTTTTGATTATAAACTACATACTCCCGAGGTTTCGGCAACTTTTCAGCGACTGTCATCACGGGCAGACGAGATATGAGTCTGTAATGTAATGCAAAGTAAAATTCGAAAATATTAGTTTATTTAAATGAGTACTCGCGGAAATCTTAGATCTCATAATATTTGATGCTATTTAATATTGTTTGTAGGCAAGAGCTTCAGCGTCGCATGCCCTGGCTTCAAATCAACGAGCCTGATGACAACGTTTCAAACACTACCAACGGCACTACAAACTCTACAGCAGCGCCTACCGCCTAATAGTTACGGATTGACGACGAAAAATGCGATACCATGGACTACGAATATGACGGATATTGAAAAAAGCAAATTCAAAAAAAATAAAAAAAATAAGCAAAGGCATCCACGTAGTACATTTTGTTTGTGCCTTTTTTTTAATTACGAGCCAGATAACAGTCTGGATTAATTATTTTTTTTATTATTATTATGAGCTCAAAACGAGGTCCTAGTTTTAAGTGGCGATATAATAAACTCACGAAATGGCTATCATAACGGACATTGACAATTACGAAGTTCAAAATGTATGTAAAAAGATAATAAAATATATAATGAGCATGATGAAAAACTTTTTTTTATTTTATATAATCACATATAATAATTTTAAACCGTGGACACGTTAATTTTTGTAAGAAAAAAAAATTGTTTTTTTTTAATATTTCAATGCTAACGTTGTTATTAGGGTTAACCTCTGTAAGAAAATATATTCATACATGTTTATCTTGAAATAAATATAAAAAAACATAAGAAGTGCTGCGTTTGTGAAAATTTTATATCTATAATGACACATGTAGTCTTTTTATTAACCAGTTTAACTACATGTATGTTCTACATTTTAATACTTTTACTGAACCTTACAATTACAAGACGTTTCAGGAATTTTAAAATTAAAAATAAAGCAGACGTGATACTGACAAATGTATTATATTTCCATATAAACAAATAAAAAAAGAATTAAAAAAATGTATATATTATAATACTAGCTGTGCCCGCGACTTCGTTCGCGTGGAATAGTGACTATGAGCAGCGTTTTTTTTTTAATATATACTTATTTTTATTCTGGATCATAATCACAGTCATTTTGGGTAGCTAAAAAACCTACTTTACTGTAATGCTTCCCTATATAAGATTAATGATGCCTATGTATGTATAAGCATAGAATAGTGTTCGATGTGATTCTTTAATTTGACATAACTTGTTTATTTATGAATCGATTGACATGAAACAAACACTAAAGCATACCACAATATATTCGTGATAACCGCATCTAACTCGGATCAGCCGTTTCTGAGATTAGCGTGAACAGACAAACAGACAAAAAAAATGTTAATAACATTTTTGGGTTCGACATCGACATAACAATAACCCCTGCTATTTTTTTATTTTTATTTTCACTGTACAGACAGCACTTTTCTACAATTTTATTATATGTATAGATATATTAATTCAATGGGTTATTAAATGCGGAATAAATTGTCTTTATGACAAAATGGTCATTAAGGGCTTGATGTTACAAAACAGCGCGATTGGAAAAAAAATGTAGGGTGTGTAAAAAGAATAATACCATAAGTTCTCTCTGAACTGACACTCTTATAGTGGAAAGTGGAAACTATCAGTTTGTAATGTGTTCTAAAGGCGTATTTTTTTTTCATAGGGAGACAAATTCTTTAACTACTTAATTTCTGCCGTACCTTTAACTATTAAGAGAATGAAATATAGATAAATTAAAAAGTAGGTATTACTAAATAAATAAAATAAATAATAAATCAATTTATTTCCAGAACCATAAAATTCCAATTTCACACACTTTTTATTTAATTAGTTTACTAAAAATGAAAAATAATGACTTATAAACTAAAACACAGAACTTAAATTAATATTAAAATTAAACTTATGAGCACAACCTTGACCGCACAATAACCATTAGCATACCCCTTGATAGTGTGTGTGTATTTTCGACCAATGCTCCAACAAATATCCCACATTAATGCTCGAGCAAGCCTTAACTAATGAGTTATCGCTTTGAGTATATCTCTTCCAGGTGCTCGCAATTCTTACACGCATCAGTGCCCAGAAACCGTGTACTCTCCTTTCAGTGAACATTTCTGATGCGCTACAGTGTCGTGGTAGTCCGAACAGTATTCGAAACGCGTTGTTATATCCCACCCGCATAGCGTTGATGGCACTTTGCGTGTATTTGATCCACAATTCGGCTGTATAGAGACACATACAATAGGTACGAAATAATATAGATTTCACCTCATCAGTGCATAGTCTGAATCTTCGTGATATCATGTTCGCGCGTATGGTTATTGCTCTCCTTTGCCTGTTGATATCATCGACATCTGAGAGGTCGTCCCTTATTATGTGCCCTAGGTATTTTATGCATGAATCAATTTCAATAGTCTGTCCATTAAGACGAACTTGCGGTATTGCTTCCGGCCCATTTCTATACTTAAATATTAGTAGCTTCGTCTTCTGAATATTGTACACCATATTGTGTTCCTCAGCATATTTCTCACATTCTCTTATGAGAATTCTTAGGGCTCTGATGCTGGGCGCTAGTAGCACCATGTCGTCTGCGTACGCGATGTGATTGATGCATGTATTGTTTATGTGACAGCCGACCTTCGTTGCCAGTAGCTTGTCACTTAATGCATCCATATACAGATTGAATAGACCAGGCGACATGGCTCCACCTTGCCTGACTCCAGTGCTCAAGAATGTCGGGTCAGATGTATGGGTGCCCCACCTTATAATATTTGTTTGTTGTCCATGCCAAAATTTTAAGATATTAGTTATATATTCTGGTGTTTGTCTCTCATGTAGTTTATTCCAGAGGTTTGTATGGGATACTCTATCAAAAGCCTTACTGAGATCGAGAAAGCAGCCGTATATCGTCATTCTTCTTTTATTATAGTAGGATATTGTCTGCTTAAGAGCGAAAATTGCAGTGTCGGTAGACGTACTCGGTTTAAATCCCATTTGGTGGTCATTTGTATGTAAATTTTTCTTTAGGTGAGCAAAGATTACTTTTTCAAAAACTTTTGCGGTCGCAGTAGCCAATGATATAGGGCGATAACTCGATAGGAGAGAGATATCAAGCTGTCTGTGCTTAAGTAATGGCACTACAGTGGTTTTCATCATGTCGGTTGGTATGTGACACATAGTGAGACAAGCGTTAAACAGAGCGGCTAACAGTGTCGGTAGGTAGGGGCCTGAATATATCAAATGCTCAGCCACAAGGCCGTCATGTCCTGCCGCCTTATTTCTGTTCTCACATTGGATGATTTTATCGACCTCGGCGGCGGAAATAGAAATAATTCTACGCGACATAGGTGTTTTGTCTGCCGGGTGACTAGTTGTGAAACCAAAATGGCTGGCAAATTCCTTAGCTATCTCCCTTTCGTCCGATTTTCCGTTAACTTCAACAGCCAACGTCTTGTTTTTTGTCTTCATAGCTTTATTTGTCTGTCTCCAGAAGCTATTAAAGTTCTTATTGTGAAGACTAAGTGCTATCCTGCTGGCCTTGATTTCCTCGGAATCTCTCAAGCATTTTTTATATTCCTTTTTGAAATCTTTCTTAGTACTTGACCTTTTCTCCGCCACCACCCCGGTCGAGGGTCTACCTGCGGCAACCCAATTGATAAAAGCCTCTTTCGATGTTGCATAGGCCTGTTTGACCCGCTCATTCCATCCTGGTATTCTGCGCTTCTTCGATCCGTTTGATAGTTTAAGAGCGAAGACTCGATAAGCAGCTGCCCTTAGAGACGTGTCTCACGTATGTATTAGATATTACCTAATTCTCTGGACAAACAAAACAATACATATTTACACAGCGGGGCTTGGGTGTCTTGTTAATTATAATGAAAAGCGTAAATAGAGATCTTTAGTATTGCTTTAGAAACATGCTCTCATATAATGTATAGTAGTGTTCATATTTTACAAGTTTACTCTCAAAATAAAAATACTCCGAACAAAAAGAACAATTCTATAGGATCTGGGCGACAAAAAAAATACAGAAACCAATTCAAGCATTATATTAATACATCGTTTTTGTTATTCTTAAAATATTAAATTTTAATTTCTAATAACTCAGTACAAAAAAAAAAACAAAGGTGAGCAGCCAGTGTGTACGGTACTTACAATAACTAAATAGAACTAGTTAAATTCCTGTATTTCATTAAAAAGTACTACTGACGAAACCATTACTGTTCATATTCTATTCTTTTAACTGTTACTTTGTAAGATCATAATGCCAGATATCTTCCACAGCCCACATTACACTGGTCGTTGTCACAAGCCGGCCTGATTGTTTTTCTCAATCTTATCACATATTTTAAAATTGTCATCACTCATCAGCCTATCAGAGCCCACTGCTGAGCAAGGCCTCTTTCTCACATGGAGAAGGTTTGTGCATTAATCACCACGCTTGCTCAAGACGGGTTGGTGATTTCAAACTTATAATTGTGAAACTATAAAAGTCCAGGTTTCCTCACGATGTTTTCCTTCACCGTCAGTCAGTGATGTCTAAATACTCTCAGAAAGTACATACAGTAGGACCCCGATTATCCGGACCTCGGTTATCCGAATTCGCGATTATCCGGACTGCCAATCGCGACGAGTTTATTCTAACATTAACATGTCAGAACTTGCATAACGCCACGCCACTCGTGCCGTCCGTGATTTTCGTTGATTTTAACTCATATGTATTTGTTGTTTTAAATAAACACCTAACATTACATATGTATGGTACAGACTACATATGTACACTAGCTTTTGCCGCGACTTCGTCCGCGTGGAATAGTGACTTCAGGCAGATTTTTGGTTTTTCCCACATAGTTCCCGTTCTTGCGGGGTTTTCGGAATGGTCGAGTTCCCGTAGAATTTTCAGGATAAAACCTATATTTTTTTTTATTCACAATGAAGTACTCTTAACCAACAACATATTTATTTGTTTATTTGAATAAAGATTAATATTATTATGTTGATACAACTTAAACAAATTATTTCGACCAAATTAGATACCATAAAAACGGTTTTTGTGAGTTAATTTTAAAAGATAGACATATACTGTCGCGAACTGTTTTTTAGATTATTGAAAGAGCTATTATTCTTTGATACATATTTTTTGTGTATCTTGAACCATTTTCACGGCGCACCCAACAGAAGTCTTCAAAGATGAAATAATTTCTCCCGTTTTTTACACATTTACCACTATATCTTTGCTCTTTTTAGTCGTAGCGTGTTGTTATATAGCCCACAGCCTTTCTCGATAACTGGACTACTCAACACAAAAGGAATTATTCAACTCTAACTAGTAGTTTCGGAGATTAGCGATTTCAAACAAACAAACTCTTCAGCTTTATAATATTAAGTATAGATATGCAAACAGCCCGTTTTTCTTCATATATTGGATTATCCGGACTTTCAATTATCCGGATGCCTACCGACAACAATTAGTCCGGATAATCGAGGTCCTACTGTAATATGACTCCGAAAAATCACATTGGTACTTGCCAGGTTTGAACCCGCGCCATCGGCAACGAGAGGCGGGCCCCTTAACCACTAGGCCACCACTGACCTTATTTTAAAATTAATAATAAACTACTATTTGCCAATTTGGTTTCAATAAAATCTTTTTTTTTTTTAATACAATGTTAACATAATATTAAAACTTTATTGCTTCTCCATAAAAGACAATTTAAAATGTATACCTCAACCTTTATTAACCTTCGTAATTATAATATTCGTAAAATGATAGCTGAAACAGTGTCGATTTCTTTTAATGAGTATTTTTTTAGCCCTGCGGCTTTAATAGTTTCAGTAGTTACACAATTCACCTTTGAAGTTATTAAAACTACAATTATATACTTCTGAATTATATGACTATCTCTACTGAATAGGTTGTAAAACTTCCAAATAGAAATTATCAAAATATATATAATTGATACACACCTCGTAACATAAGAGAGATTTCGGAAAAAAACGACGCAAAGCAGGCAATTAATAAATATGAATTAATTTAAATAAAGCTAATATTTTTCGGATATACTTACTTCCTTCCTTTACAGCAACAGAAACGTGGGGAGTTTGTAGTTTTTACAAAAATAAAGCACGTGTATTTTATCAGAAAAATATAAATGTATATACTCGCTAAAGTCTTAGATCTCATGACGAAGTAGTTTTATTAACGAATTATATTAAGCTATAACAGAGTACTATATTTTTCTAGTAACGAGTTTTTTTATGCTATGGCTCCGTTCAGACTAGAATTCTCACGAGTATGCTGTTAAAACTGTGGCTTTCACAGAGTCAGTGGTACTTTGATTTAGTTAGGACTATTATTTAATGTTTAATTTTAATCCGCAAATTGTTAGTTTAATCTTAATATGTTTAACGTATTTTTATAGATTTTCAATTATTTTGGTTTTTAAATAAGAGATTTATAATAAGGGTATACTAAGGGTGTAACGGAAAATAAAAAAAGGAGAAAGAAATCAGTGCTCAAATAATATAATCCCATAATAATACATATTAAAATACAATACTTATACGTATTTTATTCATAATTTGCTTTTTCCTATTTCATGTAATTTGCGTAAAACAGATATTTCAAGCTCATTGGTTCTCAATAATTCCTCCATGGTTGCAGTCTTCACTAACTTTTTTGAATACAACACTGAAGTTTGGTTAAGATTTAAAATTTCTCTTATAGTTTCCCATGACTTTTTGTGTAATTCCTCTGATTTGTAAACTTTATTTATAAAACCGTATTCAAGAGCTTCTTTAGCCGGCATTATATAATTCAGAATTAACATTTCCATTGCCTGAAAACAAACGACATACATAGAGAAATAATATCAATAAAAAAAGATTGACAATTAAAACAATAAATAATTACCTTTTTTTCACCCAATAATCTCGGAAATGTAACTGATGAGCATCCTTCTGCCGCCGCACCCACTTTAGTAAAAGGCGTGTAAAAATATGCCTGAAAAAATTTAGACTTTTAGTAACAAAATTTAAATGCTTTATTTTTTTTAATCGTGCATATAAAAAGGCTAACGTCTCAGACCACACCACCACTTTTTTTTAATACATTACTTACGTTCTCAGAGGCGTAAACCAAATCGCATAATGCCAATGTCGTAGCCGCTATACCGATAGCCGGACCATTCACAATCGCTACCAGTAACTTTGGGAATGTTATAAACGCTTTAACAAATCCTTCCAAGGCCACGTATAATCTGTTCCCACGTTCCGAGGATAAATCGAAACCACTGCTATAAAAATCTTCAGCTCCATTGAAAACCACAATCTTTATATTATCGTCACTTGCTGCATTATCAAGTGCTTTCGTTATTTGTACAAAACTCTCAATGTCCAGTGCATTTTTCTTCTTAGGTCTATTGAATTTTATAATGAGAACGTTTTCTTGTAACGTTTCGATTACTTTATCATTTGACATATTGAGTTTTTTTTTTCTGAAATACAATATTTAATATTATAATTACATTCATAAATACAATTAAGTATTAGTGTTTTGTTTCGTAACAAATTTTTTCGTATTACATTTTAATTATAGTTTTTTTTCTTATAAGTACTTACATACATAGATAAAGTGTGCTACTTTGTTAAAAAGTAATTAAATTGTCGTCATTAAGTTTTAAAATAGCAATAACTGTGTTATAAAAAAGCAATTTGTCTTATATTATAACTGGAAAATTTCATTAGGTACTTTATATAAATTAAATGTTGTGGATAGTGGGTGTTAAAATTACAATAATACCACACTAAAACCTTTTCAAAACATTAAATAATCAAAAAATTTAATGTATAAACTCACAACCAAATTTAAATTAAATATTTACTTTTTTTAATAAAATATCACTTTAGACCTTGAGATGCATGATAACACTAAACATTAAAAATAAAGTTTACAATAGCAATATCTGAGATTACTTAAGAGTTTTGAAACAAGTTAATTATTGGAATTACTTGTGAAACTTATGAGATTTTTAAATACTTACATCACATGGACGTTCAAAAGCAGTTAATAAATAAGAGTTATCACATTTACTGTTAACATAGCAAGTTATCAATGATATCAAAACAAAAACCATTAATGTACCTGCCTATATAGGTACATACTACATAATAAAAAACCACAGACTATATTTTTTGTTTCATAGATTATTACTTCTAAAAGTCAAAAAAGTGAAATCTAAAATATAAATTGGTTTTAATCCTATTATTGCATGTTCTTTCTTATTTATTGTTAAAATAATGTATCTCGAATTTTTTAATAAGAAAATTATAAACTAACTGAAGGTTTCGATAATGAAAATTAGGTCAAACTTAAATAAACGTAATCAAATTATATAACTACAAATATTAATAATATAACTACAAATAAAATGTATAGCCTGAAATTACAGGGAATTAATAACTATAAAATTTGTAGTTTTGAGTCTTGACGCTGACTTGTCATTCAGTTGACCTTCCTGTCATTCGCGTTAATATTTCCCTCCGACTTCCAAGTGTTAGGTACTGAGGTAGGTTACTAGGTAAATTTTAAATGTAACTAAGATATTTACATATATAATTGAAATAAAAAACTTAAGTGGTTACAAATGTTCCGGTACCTTAGAAAATTTAAGCCAAATTATGTGTGTTATATTAGTAGGAAAAATTTTAGCAGCGAAGTAAGGGCACCAGTATTAAACACGGCAAGGATGTTCAAATCTTCAGTTTTTAATCTTCAAGATGCGACAGCAGATCAGGTCAAGGAGTTTCTGAATTCTTTTGATACTGTTTTAAGTGATTGTGATGGTATGTCTAAGAGAATTTGTGTATTAGAATTTATAAATCATTTTATATTTATAATACTGTTCTTTATTATTTTTCAGGTGTGCTATGGATTAATAACAGCGCCATACCTGGTTCAGCGGAGGCTATGAACTTTTTTAGGAAATTAGGAAAAAGAATTTTTTATGTTACCAATAACTCTACTAAAATTCGTAGCGATTTTGCTGTTAAAGCGCAACAATTAGGGTTTATTGCTGAGCCGGTAAGAGATTTAATTAAAAACAATTAAAAATAAAATTATTTATTTTACAACATAGCAGTAAAAATACCATTTTCACATTTGAATTTATATTGATAAACAATGAAGTAATTTTTAATGGGATTTCAAAATTATCAAAAAATAACATTTTACATAACAATTATTATATCAAATTCAGTTTATTATTGATGAAGTATTTACTTGAATAGCAGTCTTGTAAAGAGCAAGATGTAATGGCATAACCCCCTTTTCATAATGCAAGACTTCCCATCTAAGATAGTTTCTCTTACAAAAATGAAACAAAAAATTTATTTTCCTTTTAAGATAAAAAATTCCCCTATATAATAACATAAAATTTGTTCAGAAAAATAACATTCTTTTTTCATAATTTCATAACAATTTCAAAAGTGATTATAAAATCACTTTTGATAAATATGATTTATTTTTTTTTAAATATTGTTACTTTGTTATAATGCGTTAATAGCAACATTCTAATTGCAGGAAGAAATTCTATCAACAGCTTATTTAGTAGCCCATTACTTGAAAGGTATCGGATTCAGAAAAAAAGTTTACCTAATAGGTTCAAATGGTATTGGTGATGAGTTGAAAGCTGTGGGAATAAGACATATTGGTGTTGGAGTAAGTGACATTCATTTGTAGTGTTTTGTTACTTCATACAACTTTAGTTATAGAACAGATATATAAAAATTTTTGGTGTAGGTGAAAAAAAGGCTTTATAAAGCCGAGTGTCCATTATAATTACAGACATCCCAGTTAATAAGAACAATTTGGAATATTAATTATATACATGTTTGTATAGATAAATTATTTCTTAATGATGATTGTATCATATTAATAAAAAATACAAAAGAAAAACATTATTTCTTTAAATATATGCTGCTTAGTATAAAACTTATTTATAATTTTTCAGCCAGACCAAGTGAAACAGGATTTCAAATCAATGAATTCATCAGATTTGGATCCTGAAGTGGGTGCGGTGGTTGTTGGTTTCGATGAACACATAAGCTATCCCAAGTTTATGAAGGCTGCATCCTATCTCGCCAACGAGCAGTGTCTATTTGTAGCCACAAACACTGATGAGAGGTTCCCTAAATCTAGCACAGTTATAATACCTGGAACTGGGACACTGGTTAGAGCGGTGGAAACATGCTCGGAGAGGAAAGCACTAGTTCTTGGAAAACCACATGATTATGTACGGAAGTTTCTGGAATCATTCGGCCTTGACCCTGCGAGGACTTTGATGATTGGTGACAGGTAAATACATGGATAATTAATATGCATATATATAATACTAGCTTTCCGCTCGCAGCTTCGCCCGCGTGGAGTTCGGTTATATCGCGTTTCCAAGAGAACCTTTCAAAAGTCTGGGATAAAAACTATCCTATGTTCTTTCTCAAGGTCAACTCTATCTCTGTACCAAATTTCATTAAAATAAGTTTAGTGGTTTAGGCGTGAAAGCGTAATAGCCAGATAGACAGATAGAGTTACTTTAGCATTTATAATATTAGTAGGGAGATATGATTATTAAATGCAAGTAAAATTTAATGAATGTTAGAACTGAAAATATAACAGTGTTACTTGTAATAATATTCCCATACCTCATATTTATGGTGATAAAATTATTTTCATTTATTAAAACGATATTAAATGCTGCAACAAATCCAAAATTGTTTCATATGATAAGCAAACAGACTTTCATGAAGTAAGCAAATATTTTTTTTAGATTGAATAAGCTATAGACAATTTCTTATTTTTAAAATATTATTACAGCTTAGTTACTTTAAATATAATTATCAAAACACTTATATACTATGGGAACATAAGCTTACATAACTTTTTATTACTTTCAGCTTTATAAATACATATTTATTGATTGTTTGCTTATAGCTTGGTAGAAAATTACATTTATTTAAGAATTTGAGAAGCAATATAATACATGGCAGAAGTTCAGAATATACATATAGTATATAATATTATGTATGTGTAGCCTTTTATGTTTATTAATAAATGTATATATTTTTCAACCAGATGCAACACCGATATTGAGTTTGGTGTTCGTTGTGGTTTCCAAACACTGCTCGTCATGACTGGAGTGACTTCACCAAAAGAATTAGAGAGGATGAGAAGCGACAAAAAACCTCCTCTACCCGATGTGGTTTTACCAAAACTAGGCGATATAGTGACTCTCGCCTCATAGTACAATTGATAAATATATTTAAAAATGTGATATGTTACAAATTTATATTAATTTGTTGGGATTATTAATGTTATTTTATTTAGCATATCATCGGGATAGTGCATCCAAGTAACTACCATTGGATTTTGGATTGGAACTACATTTGGATTCTGCGTATTTACATTGGAAGCAGATCAGAAGAAAGTTTAAGCTGAAATATTTTCTATATTAACGACTTTTAAGGTGTTTATTTCACAATTACATAGTAATTATTTAACGTTTAATTTATTTCAATGGTAGTTATGCGGATTTGCACTATCCAGGAGGATATATTATTTATCATAATTGAATATCATGTTAAGGGTTCAACTTAACTGATATCCTGATATAGTTAAATTTTTACGGTACTTTAGATGTTGGATTACAATATCCGACTAGTACAGTAAAGTTTTTTTAGTCTTTATTCACATTGGGTTAAGTTACTAGCTAAATATATGTATCCTAAATAATTAGGAAAAATGAATCTGTGCACAGACTAAAATTAAATATAAAAGTATGTTAGTCAAACACATTTTTTATTTATTTTGTTTAAATTATTCATACAAATATTTTTATTCCCAAATTGTTATCTTAGTTCAAGTTATAAGGTTAAACCTTCAAATGATGTTAGATAAGAGTTACGTATTTTTCTATTATTAAATAATAATAGAAAAATAATATATATATAAATAAATTTTGAACATATATGAAAACTTTATTTTCATATATGTTCAAAAGTGTTGCCAATATAAAATAATCAATTTTGAATATTGTATACTTAAACCGCTATTTTTTTAATCACCCCCAGTATTAAAATCAGCATATTTCTAAAGCAATGGATGTATATATATTTATAATTATTTGTTTTCATATTGAGCATTTATATCTATTTCACATATATTTATGTCATGCAAATAATGTGTTCATTTTCATGACAATTTTATTAATACAGTAGCAGTATTTTTAGTGCATTTATTTAACTTCAAATGAGTACTCGGATAATAAATGTTGCCTTATGAAAAAAATGTACAAATATAATGTTATTGTTGAATATACATTTTAGTTGCTCTGGCAATAGATTGTTATTATTTAAACGAATTTGTAATCAATGTTTATTATAAATACTGCATATAAAACCGTTTTTTCTTTTGGAACCTTTTTTAAATTAATATACTTTTGAAATATGAATGTTAATATTATTATAATGCGTGTTATACTAATATATAAAAAAATTGTCACAAAGAAAATGAAATATTTATAAACTACCAAATTGGCCCTGTTTTCATTTAAACAATATTTTTGAAAAAATATCCTAAATCTTATAGATTTTTAAGACCAAATGCTAAATTGGACGACAAAATTTTAATAATCTACAAAATAAGTTGCTAAGCCCTATATTAATGTGGCGGGCCATTTTCTTTAAAAGTACCAATAGCGACGTATAAAGATTTTTTTTTATAAAAAAAGGCCATTTAAATTCATTCCGACTTGCCGAAGTTAGAACGAAGGGTCCCGCTTATTTTAATACGGAGCCTAACAAAGGCAAGCCACCCCTGCTTGTCTTATTTTAGACTAGATTAAATCAACTACATTTCATATATTGGATCATGTAACGGAAAAATGTATGAAAGTGAATTTTACTCCATTGTTTATTTGCAATTATAAACTAGGAAACTCAAGACTTATGTTTGAAATGACATCTTCCTCAATTATCATGAAAGACGAGCAGTTGTTCTTTGTATAAGTAAGCTTGTTGACTTAGACTGTCAGTCAAATCGTTTTTATTACGATTATATACCTATCTAGGATATTATATATCTACGAATTGAATAAAACTTTTGGTGTTAAGATGGACGCTAAAAACTCTTATTATTAATATTGATATTATAAACTGTGTGATTACCCACGGGTAGGTATATCCACTCACTACGGATTTTAGTAAATCGGAAGTTTAAATACCTATTTATTTAAACTGTAAAGTCTTCATAATGTAATAAAACAAATACGTCAATACGAAAAAAATACGACTATATGTTTATCTATACATTTTAAATATTGTACGAAATATAAATAAGACAAAAGTTCTAGACTCTAGATTTTTTCCCGCCTTATTTATTATACACATTAGTAGAAGATGCATTGTTTTTCAGCAATTTTAATCACGTGATCAGCATATGTATAAGTCTATCAGTTAGTATTGTTTGTTGTCATCTATAAGATTATTACAATTTTACGAAAAATATGGTATTATTTAAATGTAAAGTATTACTTTTATTTGAAGTACATATTACTTATCTCTATCTAATCTTGGAATATAAATACTTCATTTAATTGTAATAATTGAAAGTTATTCCATCAAAATTTTATTTTGGGACGTTAGTTGTGACGCTTTTGAATGGTTTAGCTATTTTTGGGATATAAAGTATGTATCGATAACTGGCCCCATTTAAATAAAAACATCTCGATTACAAAGTTTATGGATGCGTTCTATTTGAGACCAGAGACAGAGTGAAAAATCTAAGAGAAGTGGCATCATAAAACGAGGTCATTCAATAACGTTAATAGTAGCTGAATATATATGTTAAAATGTATTGTATAGATCACAGTATGTTCTAGAAACTTTTAAAATTGTAGTTACGCCAATGCGCAGTAGGTATATGGATTATTTTGTTACTAGATCGCAAGTTATAGAAGTTTTTTAGTTAAAGTATATTTTCAAACTAGAGAAGGCTAATTTCGAAGTTTAAGACAACATGAACACTAAAAAAACTATTATACTATTGCTTTCTAGGTTAACGATACCAATATGTATCTGCTAGACAGAGTATTATAGGTACATACTATAATGTAAGAATATAAAACGGTTCCAGCACTGGTTAGTATTTTAATACTTTCTTGCAAAATAAATGGAGTCTTGGTTTCTTTTGTAAAAAGAGGTTCTTACTAATCTCTTTTTTTTTTCAAGAAAAAGAGTTTTTCGTATCATCAATCATAAAAAAAAAACATTATCATTTTCAAGCTTCTAGCTTTGTAAAATTTACTTAATACTAACGTACAGAAGGTTCAGTACAATAAATTACGACTAACATAGCTAATATTATCAGTATCCCAAAATACTCTAACTAAATTAATGTTCTAACACAGTTGCATCCCGCTAAAAATACGTCAGACGTCTGTAAAGATTGCCGCATACATATATTTGGGGGCGTTATGGAATAGAATAGAATGGAACTGCTATAAAATATAATTAAAATTATATATGAAACAGCTTTTCACGTCATTCGCGTACCTCGGCTGTCCCTATTGTATATGGGAAGTAGTATTCGCTAGGGAGCGAGGCGCATGCGCTATAATGGAAGTCAGCGCTCAATCTGTTACTCTCCACTGACAGTAGAGTCAACACTTGAAGGTATAATAGATATTTCGCGGCAGTTTTAGTGCAGCCGCGAGCGACGTTAACCGCCACGGAGTGCTTGTGATATCATTAAAAAAACAATATTCATGTGAGTCAATGTATATTTATCTAATTTTCGTATTCATACCTCGTACATTTACGAAATATTAGGGAAAACAACCAGTAGCTGTGGCAGCGACTAGTGATGTAGGCTTAACATTTTCGGGTTAACAAAGAGGCTGTGGTTTTGGTTTTATTAATCTCAAATATTTATTTTAATAATTGTCGCTATTTATTTTATTTATTTGACAACTGTCGTAATTGAATTATCAATGATGGAATCATTGTCATCGTAACAAACCATCATAGATAATTAATAATTATTAGATTAATATTGAAGCGAATAATGGTACTATTTATAAAGTAATCTCCTGTACCTTAATTGCCAATCTTCCAGCTAATATATCAAATATTACGCTCCGTGACGTTCCCAACGACGCCCCACTAGGAATAAATAGCGTTTAAGCAGAACCAAAATATATTTAATTTGTATTGAATTTCGTACATACGAATTTCCCTAATGGTTTCGTTTCGACTCTAATCTATATCAGTGATAAAACTTACGAAGCGATTATTAAATACGTGATAACACGACATTTCCTATTGATACATATAATCAGAAGGGATAAATTCATGCAATTCCCTGATAAGACAAGTCACAGTCACTGCACCGACCTTCATGAAAACAAAACACACGATAAGAATTTTACCTGTAGCAAAACATACATTATCTAATTTCAAGGACATGTACTTGGTATACTATAAATAAATTTCACACTACGCGAGGCTATATTATTAATTTTATATATAAATTATGATATGGCATCATTTTCTTGTAACCATAATAAGAAGATTTTGTTTGATTACATAGTACCTTAACTGTCACGTTCACTTGTCTAGTTGCAGTGTTAATCAAGTATATATTGTACCTACATTGTTTTATGAATGATAATTTAAAAAACAATATACTATATAAATCTTTAAACAATAGTCGAGACACGACTTTGATTTATTATAATATTTTTCCTTGACAATATTATACATTAACAATTTACTCATGATTCGATAATTCAACCATATCTAAATGCAAAATTAAGTTTCTATAATGGGAAATATATTATCTTTAGTTGCGTCTCATGTTACAATACTCGCGGCCATTAACACAACCAAGTTTTCACACAAATTTCACTTTCACTGCTATAGAATATCTTTTTATCAACACCCTACGAGGAAACACCCTGTTATTGAACCCAACAAAAAGTCACTATTTAATTGTTTTCTAAAAGTTTGTTAAACATCGTAAAACCAAGGAAGAATAATTAATATTTTTAATATTCAATTAAAAAAGATGAGATTATTTAAGTTGTCCAACATATTTAATTCTTTCGTAATGCAAATAATACTTTTTCATATTTGTTATACTGATCGCGTTAGTAATATGTACGTGTTTTCCCGTTTAAGTGCGACTAAGCTGCTTATTTCTTGTTTTCTATATTATCATCAATCGAGACTCATTTTTTTTTTTATAAATATTGAACAATAAATACATACAATTAACTGAAGAAATTTTAATGTTATCATAATATTATCTTGCAATAATAAAACACCTACATAATTTACAATTTCACGTTAAATGTTATCATAATATATTGCTATCATACATTAATTGAGCGATTATTATTCATAAGAGTTCCAAAATATTGTCATTTCAAAATGACCTTGAATTTTTTCGTTTAGGGTTAAAAGTTTGCAAATATCATATATTTTTTAATACTATTAGAATGATATAAAAAAGTATTATGCTCATTTGAAGCTTCTTTTTTAGGGTTGGAGGCTAATTCGTCAGTTATCCATTTTATTATTTATACATACCTATGTATATTTGACTAATGTACAAAATTAAATGTCTATTGTCAGTTTGTCATTTCTCATCTTTGCCCTTAAAAATTGAATAGAAAAATGGTTAATATCTGGATTTGGAATAAATATATACTTATTATTAATATCTTTATGATATCTAATATTTTCGCATGTATGGATTTAAATAGTCCCGATGCATTAGTGCAGCAACAATGATCAAGGACAGACAAGATGATGAATGATTTTTCATTTCAAGATATATAGTTGTACAATAATAAAAAACAAAACACATGTACAATAGTAATATCCGATGAACCTTAGTTTTATTTATTAATATCTTGTTAATTAAAACTATTTCGCTGTGTGAGTCATAACTTTACATTATGTAGATGACGTCAGCGAGACTAGGTTACGCGGCATAGAAGTGCTATTTAAAAAGTTCGTATCTCAAAAGTATTAAGATGCATTCCCCATCACTATGATATAAGAATTTGGACGTATTATGTGTGTTAACTGCTTAAGCTATTATGACCATATCTTGTTTGTTTTTACTTGAATAAAGTTCTACTAAAAATATGGTTTTACTCAGTCTTTTCTTTTGTTATGTGAAATACATAATTTAATTAAAACGTGTTATTGTTTTCATTTATGTGTAGTTGAGAGTAGGTATTTTAACACGGATTAAACGTTGTAAAATTATTTTTTCTCCTATGTAGAAGAAATAAAATAATTAGTTTTTTTTTTGTTTGACATTCAAACGGTAGTTACAGTTTAAAAACATTAATTGATTTATTCGTTCAATAACTAGCGCTTAGATCATAGCTTCCTTATTCCTTAATATTCAACTCATGGCCTTTAACATTATATATTTATATACTAAAGTTAGGTTTACCTCGAATTTACAAATTCAATTTATAATAGTTATAATATAAATAGCAATTGATATTTTCGACCATTACCTAAGACACACAAATATATAGTCTTGTGTAATGTGCTAACTTATTGCAATGAGCTGTGTTTAAAATTATATGCAGGTACATTGTTCTGTGTCGTCGCTTCGCCGTCACATTGACGATTTAGGTCTGCAATAAGACAGTGCATAGAAATAAAGTAGGTCAGGAGGTGAAATGATCACACCCCAACATCGACATTAATTAGCTGATTCATGACCAAACAAATATTACTCCGACAGGTGCTAATTGTAACGGCTACAAAGTAATGTCATAATTTTGTAACGAGTTATTGCTTTTTTAAATAAATTGATATTCACCTACGCGAAGGTTTGAAAACATTGTTTATTTTTTATCTATACATTTACACAAAACCATTGTGTAACAAAAAGGCTTTGGTATTGAAAATATACAATAATCATAAGTAATTTTTTGTAAATTTTACTTATGCTTTGTCATTTTAATAATATTTAGCCATTTATTTCTTTTATTCTACGTACATATTTTGCGCATTTTGTCAATGACATTGATTCTTTTCGGGGTATTCTAGACTTCTAGACTATTGTATTCTTTTAAAACGAAGTGTCCTTCAGGTCTTGTCGGATACAGAGTATTATATATGTAATAGCTATAATATTCACCCACAGATATTTTCCGCGGAGGTGTAACGACGGGCTCCCACATATTTAGCATCATATAATTTAGCAGTTTCAGTATTTTTATTAGGATTCAAGGTTTCAAAAATGTTTGATATGTAATGCTTTGATAAAATTAGTATTACAATAACGAAATTGATAAATTTAAAGTAAGTTTATTGATATCTCAATCAATACTTACATTACTTAATACATTCTTAAGATTTCAAATATTTTTATACCTAGAAGTAAATTTTTTAGCAATATGATTTTCGAAATAGCGTATTTTTCACAAAATTCTCATATATATGGCTTACTTAAAAGTAGCTAAAGGAACTCTATTTCTGTCAAATAAAATTGTAACAAAAATAATTGCAGTTTTCAATGCTTACATAAATGTTCTTATTAAATTAATTTAAAAAATTAAAAAGTAAGTGTAAATATCTAAAGTTGATAAGTACTTACGTAAAGTAAGGATGTAAGCGTATGTATTAAAACAGATATTTAGGTGTTTATTCATTATGCAGCTACATTTAATAGTCACTGTTAATATTATAATAGTGCGGCTATTTTTATTTGAATCCTTGTTATTTATACTGAATATTTATTTAATCTAATAATCATTAAATGTAGGAAAATATTATATCAGAAACAATTATTTTAAATCATTGAATAAGAAACACAATTTACGTTATTATTTCTAACTTTTTACTTTGTTTTCCATAAAAGAGATATACTTTTTAAATATAAATAACGGTTAAGCAGTTTTTAAAACGGGTAGATTAATTTGCGACTATATTTACGGATACAGAGTAAACATCAATCGTCAAGGCCGGTGATGTAATATCTGATTTTAGCGCGAAAACATGACGTTTCTAGTCAATACATCGGTAAAATAATAGACTTAAATACTGCCTGTTCGGTTTTTATATGACATCATAACTTAAGGTCAATAATATCAATGATGGAGCATTTGTGATTAGAACGTGACCTATGAGGCCTCTTTCGTTCTTAGAGATAGATCAATTTGACTTTATAATGTTCAGATTTTTTTATGTAGTTATGTAGCAAAAATAAGTGATTATGTTAGAATGATCCGAACATAGAGCAACAAGGAAAAATTGTGAAAATGAATTCAAAAGAAAACATATTATACGAACGGTTTAATCTCTTTTTTGATAAAACTTGTGAGCAGTCACTGCAAATATAAAAATATTGCAAAACTTTGTTCGCACCGATAATCCCATTGCTGGGACAAAAGAAAGTTATTATGGTGATGTTTTGTTTTAGGTATATTAAGTTGAGAAACATAAAACTACCTCTTATTATATGAGTGTAAGGACTTTTACATTTAAACAATCTCTACCTTTTAAATCATTTAAAATTTTTAAAATTAAGATAAATACATTTTTGAATTTCGTGTCTTTAACTGAAATATATGAGAAATTAATGAAACTGTAAAAAAAACTATACATCTAAAAGAAAATATTATTATAAATAGCCGACATTTGGTTATTCGTAAAAAATATCGTAACACAATATAACATAGAATTAAAAATTATAATACATATAACTTTTGTCCTATTTCAAAAATACTCTTTTGTCCATTTGTCAAAATTTTGACAATATAATACCTAACTTATTGTCACTGACATTCTGAACATTCAAATACTGACACCTGATATTATGTTTATAAGGCCACAAAAAATATTTAAATAAATGGGTTATGATTTTTCAGTTGTAAAGATGTCGGACGCAGCGGTAGAACAAGTTACGAGGGAGGTGAAGGACGTCAAACTTGAGAATGGAGCAGCCAACGGTGATAATACAATACCTTTCAAGGTATATACTAAATAGTGAAACATTATATATAAACTTGAAAACATTTGAGATGTTTCATCAAGACCAATTATTCAAAAAAATTAAAAAAGTACCACAGATTATTAAAGAAAATATGTATATGAATATAGTCTTCAAAAAACGAATAATTTGTTATTCATATTTTTGTCAGTTACGTTTTTAACAGGAGCTATAAAGTATTTACCGCTAAAACGTTATGTTTCTTTATAAACTAAGTAGATGTATTCCCTTCAGTGGATATATAAAGCGGTTAGGTACATATTCGTTGCAAGGAGACCGCAAAGCTTAGCAAGCCATTAGCGCTGCATTGAACCTCCACTGCCTTTTATCTGATCTTTCATGCACATGCAACCAAAGAAACAATGTCTTTTAACACGAATATGCTGTTTAAAGAACGATGCTTAAGTGACTTTTTTGTTTTTCTATTAAAAAATACAAGATTAATATTTAAAGTTGTTTAAAAAATGTTTATATTCACTTTTGTAAAATTATAAGTACATTTTTTAATTTTGATTTTCAGGATGCCTTCAAAATGTTCTCGAAATTCGGCGATCCTAAATCAGATGGGAAGCAGATCACACTATCTCAAAGCGACAAATGGATGAAGCAGGCCAAAGTTATTGACGGAAAGAAAATAACGACAACGGACACAGCCATACATTTCAAGAAACTAAAATCTGTCAAACTCGGCATCGATGACTACCAGAAGTTTCTAGAAGATTTGGCGAAGAATAAGAAAATAGAGGTGGAGGAAATCAAACGAAAACTAACAACGTGCGGCCAGCCGGGTGTATCAACACATGTATGTAACATTAGCGGCTATTGTTTTCAGTCACGTGCGATCACTATGACGCTATCTTTATAATAAGTATATTGTCATAATAGTCTATTCATAGCCGGGAGTAATCCATACGATATATTATACAGCGGATCTCATATTTAACATGTTTTTATATAATTAGATATATTTTTATTTAACACATAACTTAGCAACACTGAAGGTTAGTGAATACCTTTTTATTATTTTTTTTATTAAGGACTGGCAAGACTAAGTCTAAATCTAAATCCTTACTCATTATTACTAATAAATCTTCGTAATAATAAGGATATGATAATCGAAATTTTAAATAATACTTGCCTAAATATAGCGTTGCTAATTTGTATTCCGTAGGAGTGTTCTTTTAGTATTCAAAAGCGATTGAAACCTGCCATTATTATATAAAAGGTGTTGTTTAACCTGTGAACACATATGCACCGAATTAAAATTTGAGGAACAACATTTGTCATATTCATTTGTTAAAAAAAAGTTATTAAAATTATTCACGTTTTACTACACATAAAAAAATATTTATTGTACGTAAGTATTAAATTTTGAAGATTTTTAAAACAACTTGATGGTAAAATATACTTTAGTTTTTATAGTAAGCAAAACAAGACTAAAATGCAAAATATCATTATTTTTATTCTGATAGCGTTGGCATTACATACCAGATTTTTTTATATAACAGACTTTAAAGGACGTGAATGTAAGATGCAGATCTCTTTTCGCAGCATTTCTTTTGTGTTTTTGTTAGTTTAATTTAGAATTTTCAAAAAAAATAGCAATGAGTTTCGGAAATCATCGTATTAACGATATTGGTTGGTGTTATTCAAAATTGAATAGAATAAAGACAAACTGCCCTTAAGTCTTATATAATTTTTTTTATTTGTAACTAGCTTTTGCAGCGACTTCGTCCGCGTGGAATAGTAACTTCCGGCAGATTTTTGGTTCTTCCCACATAGTTCCCGTTCTTGCGGGGTTTTCGGAATGGTGGAGTTCCCGTAGAATTTTCAGGATAAAACCTATGTTTTTTTTATTCACAATGAAGTACTCTTAACCAACAACATATTTATTTGTTTATTTGAATAAAGATTAATATTATTATGTTGATACAACTTAAACAAATTATTTCAACCAAATTAGGTACCATAAAAACGATTTTTGTGACTTAATCTTAAAAGATAGACATATACTGTCCTGGACTGTTTTTTAGATCATTAAAAGAGCTATTATTGTTTAATACATATTTTTTATGTATATTGAACCGTTTTGACGGCGCACGCAACGGAAGGCTTCAAAGATGAAATAATTTCTCCCGTTTTTTACACATTTACCACTATATATTTGCTCCTATTGGTCGTAGCGTGATGTTATATAGCCTACAGCCTTCCTCGATAACTGGACTATCCAACACAAAAAGAATTATTCAATTCGAACCAGTAGTTTCGGAGATTAGCGCTTTCAAACAAACAAACTCTTCAGCTTTATAATATTAGTATAGATTAATATCTTTTCAATATGTCGGGCAGTTTCTAGAAGTCTGAATATGTAATTTGAAACTTTACAAACGTATCAAGGACCGAAAACAATGCAATAATTTGATAACAGTTTTTCATTTTCCTTTATAGGACCACCAGGATTAATGAATTCTTTTATAGATCCTTTACAGTATAGTGAGAGAGATAGAGCTAGTGAGCGGTTTGCGCTTGAAAAATAAATAATAGTTTTAAAAAACTAAAAATAAATCATTTCTTTGTAATTGAAAATTATTTTCTATTTTTTATTTTGGTTACTTATAAAAGCGCGTTTTTTTGTACCTAACTATTATTTATTTTCATGTACGTAAATATTGTGACATTTTAAGTTCTACTTTTAAATTCTTCTACATTAATTATTATTTCATTTTGGAATTTCTATCTGTATTACAGTTGCCAAAATCGCCGGCAGCCGCCGCCGCTGTTGACAGACTGACTGACACGAGCAAGTACACCGGCTCTCACAAACAACGCTTCGACGAAACCGGCAAAGGAAAAGGAATCGCCGGGAGAAAGGACCTAGTCGACGCCTCCGGATACGTCAGCGGCTACCAACACAAAGACACTTACGATAAATCACACTAAATTATTTATTTTTTAAATTTGACATTGAATTTCTGTCAAGTCTGTACGTTATGTGCCTTTTTATTTTTTACTCACAACTTACATCTGTCATTTTTGACGTTCTAATGCAGCTACATTCCGTTTTATTAAAACTTCTTTAGACTTTAAGTGTAACGTAGCGTCTTTACTGTCTTAATGTCTAGTCTTGAGTAGCTTAGATTCATGATTCCAATATATTTCTACTTATAGATGTTTAATGATACTCTATAAAATATTTTCGTACGACCTAATATTTATATAAAAAAGATATTGAGACTAAAATCCTATAGTACAATATAATACAAAAAGTACAAGGAGTAAAAAGATTTTTTTGTAATTTACGTAATTTTGTGATTTAATACTTCCTCAAACGTCCCTGTAATTTAGTGAGCTAGCTGAACATAAACAAAACAAAACCCAGCGTGGATAATGTTAGCTTTTTAATTATATTATAATCTACCCCTAATTTATAAATTATATCATATATCAGTACAGAACAGTTTTATTTACCCCTCAAAGACCCATTAACATTACAACAGTAATATATAATAAGTAATACAAAATTTACTACTTTTTATTTATTAAGGAAAAAAATATAAATAACTATAGAAATAAAATACCACTTCATATAGATACCATTTATTTGTCTTAAAACTAAATATATGCATAAAGCCGTAACAATTTTGAAACTATTAATAATAAAGAGATAATCTATACATAAAATTATAAATAATATACATTTAAGGTACATGCAACTTCATATACAACTAAATATAAACATAATTCGGTAAATTAAATGATAAATTCCGTATCCTTGTTACATTAGGATCTTCGAAGCTAGCTTACGTTGACACAAATTATAGTTGTAGTGTTAACAGTAATTCTTTTAATTTGTTTGTCGGCGAAATAAATATGTGAAGTATTTTGAAATTTATATAGTTTTGATTATGAAATATAGGTATTGACAATGCAAAAAATGGCTGATGCTTTAAATTTATTAACATGATACTAAATTTGAATAGTTTATTAGAAAAAAATCTTTTAGTTTAGTTCTTCTATTAATGCCTTCACATGCATTTAAAACTCGCAATATAATGCACGTTTTACGGTGAAAGTTTGTATTATAATTAAGTTATTTTTATCGAAAACCGCTAAGTTGTAAATTTTCGTCTTTTATTTTATCTATAACGGGCATCATGAATCTAGGTCGAATAAAAAAAACCTTCGTCATTCAAATTACATTCACGTTTAAGAACTATCGGATTTAATTCTTTTGAATATTAGCGTAGCACTTTTATTGTGAAGTTTTCCATGATAACTCCTTACACATCACAAGGAGTTTGAGGCATAACTTCTGAAATGTACATACTCATTATGCGACAATAAAATTCTTCATTCTATATTAACCGCGTCTTTCTCCCGCTTGTTACAAGAACTGTCAAACTGTCAAAGTGACATGTCACTAACCCGCCATTATCCGTCAGAGTTGTCAAATCTGGTGGGCGAAAATTGTTAGAATTTAATATTAATTGGTTTATAGTTTTGCAATCAAAATGCTTATAGAATATTAACATTTTCTAAGATTTATGAATGAAAACATTTAAATCTTTAGTTAGAAGGATATACCTAATGAGTAGTATATAGCATTTTTTTTATGTAAATCGGTTGTCAAAGGCGTAACTACTTTATTCCATATATGTTTAATATTTACAAATCAATCCATCTACCAAATAAGACTTGACTAGCCGTTACGGTCAACAAATACGATACCAATAATAGTTAAATTTTATATTATGAAGTGTTATTGCTATATAAATTTATTCATTTAATAACTTCTACCAGATCCAAATATGTATAGCACGTGACTTATACAGATTCAATCAATAAAATTCAAACTTAAGACATACTTATGTTAAAATTATATATGTATTAAATATTTTTATAAAATCAACGCTCCATACATCACAAGAAACATACTATAATTTCAGTTCTTGACTACATATAAAGAGAACTATGAAGAGAGAAATGGCTGTTAAAAACTATAAACTAACCAAACTTTATAATATATAGTACAATTAATATCATAAAAATACAAAACCAGTTTTAATAATTTCCATACTAATATTACATGAATTTTAACATGAAATTATCAAACATATGAAAAAAAAAGAAATATTTAAACATATACATATTTTCAATACTATATAATATATGTAGAATATTTTGTTGCGAGTCCACTGATTTATAATTTAACATTTATTAAAATATATAATAATAAAACTAATGCATATTCCACACAGATTATAACAAAATGCAGTCTCAAATACTTTCTACAGATTATATAATCACTAGAATTGTAAAATCTGAGTTTTTTTTAATAGAGCCATTAATAATACTAAGTTTAACTGTATGGAGCCAATAGTACTCAATTATTTGACTTTGTATATTAACTATTTATGTATTCTATTTATAAGCTTTCCTTTAATATAGTAGACATTTATTTAAACCATTAAATTTAATGAATTTGAAAATAGCAAATTAGATGAAATTATGTTGATTTTTTATATTCAAATAAAAATAAAGACTTTAAATTTTCTTTCAAAAAATTTTAAACGAATTTTAGCTCAAAAATGTTATTTTTCAATCAGCCAACCGTTGACCTTGGCTTCTGAACTCAAAATTTTGAGACTATCTTAAATATGATGTAACATAACACATAAAAATTATTAAATTATACATTACAAAACGAGTTTAATATAGGTATTATTTTTTTCAAATTAATTCAATCTCAAAAATCACTATTCACAATTTTTCGAAAATTTATTTTCCTACAACATATTTTATTAGCAAAGTGAATATTCTATGTAACTAATTAATATTCAGTTATAGATATTATAATCAAAATCCCTACATTTATGGCCACAATAGTTTTACGGACTGAGTATATGTTTTTTTTTTAATTTTTAATTTCTTTTTAGGAAGATAAAAAGTTTGAATATTATTCAGAAACCAGTTATCGTAAATATTCTGCCACTTTTTTATCTATAATTAGCTAGATACAAGTTATTAGAACGCAAACGGTGACAGCGAAATCTTATAGACAGCTTTCATTAATTAATTTCGTTTATCAATTCCGTATGTGGAAGTGAATCAGAACATTATGTTTCATCTTAGGAAAGTCGACAATTTAATGTCAAGCAAATACATTGTACACGTAATCCATATATTTTGGCCTTGTACGTGGAGGAATAATCACTAATACAACATAATTTACAACATCAAGAAGATGTAGGGTTGCCACCTTAGAATTTTACGAGTCAGAAAACGCAATTAATGTGTCGCATCTCACAATAATACGAATTTTTTTTATCAAAGAAATTCAGACCTATATGTAGTCGTTATTATAATAAATTTCTATGTCTGACTATCAATGTCGACAGCCCTGAGTATAACATAATTAGTGATATTTAAAAAAATCCAACGGAATGCGATTCAATTAGAAATATGTCAAGGCGTTTAAAATATATTATTTACATGGGACCCTCGATGGTGCTGTGCTTCATGGCGAAGTAGTAGACGGCGCGACTCGCCAGTAGAAAGGCTACTAGGAAAGCGCCTACATAGGCTACGTAGACCCCACCGCCGTGGGTTTTAGCAGCGGATAGGGTCCCTAGGGTCACTCCAAGAGCAATCGCGAAGAATAGCAAAGCGAGCAACGCGAATATGGTGCCGCGAACACGCGCCATACGAGGTCCCACTGAGGATACCTTGCGACAATGAGGACAGCGGACCGGCGCGTTCTTTAACATCTGGTACTGAAACATAACAACCACGATCATTATATCTCGTCCTATGTTAGGACATAATTAAGGTATCCTACTAATATTATAATTGCGAAAGTTTGTGAGTGAACCGATTTCGATAAAATTTTGTATACAGGAAGCTGACGTCCAGGAATAACATATAGGCTACTTTACATCCCGGAAATCCGCGGGTAACACCGCGGGGCGCAGCTAGTAATATATAATAATAAAAATATATCTTTAGAAATTTTAATTTTCATCCATTATCTTGTGTAGTTAATAATGATATAATTATTTAAATTTTATTGCAGGTTATATGTCATTTAATATATTCTATACTTTTCTCAAGGTTTCTTAATGTAGTGTCGTTGAATTAATGTCAAGGACGGTTATATGAGGTTACTTCAGCTGACACAATTTACACGAAATCCAATAAGACTGTGTTAATGTAAGGACCGATAGCCATGAAGAGATTCCAGGGATTATGTGACATATATACTGTGATAGACTTTTGGGTGATTACTCATTTTCATTCACACAAATATATCATATTGAAAACCTAAACCAGCTGAAGTATCAAAAATTTTATTGCATTTTCATATGTATGCTAAGTTTCAAATTGATTAGACTTCTGGTAAGAGAAAAATCGCGCACAAAGATTCCCAAGCTTATAAAAGCTTGTTAAATATATTTAAAAAAGGAACATGTATAAGTGTCAGACCAAAAAGGTGGATAGAAAAGAGGTTTAACTCACCAAGAATGTGTCCTGGCAATGTGCGCACATGACCCTGCACATGCCGGGCAGAGTGGGCACGGGCGGCGTCACCGGTGAAGGCGCTAGGTTGATGATGCGCTTGCAGTCAGCCCGGGGGCACGCGATCCTTTGAGACGAGGACTTGCATATCAGAAGACAGTTGCACGGACAACGGACGTACTTCTTGCCCGGCGGAGCGTTTCTGATTGGCTGCAATTTGTTTTTTTTTTTAAGTCGTCAGTTTGAATGCGTACAGCTATAAATAATTTCGAATAAAGAATTCCATTAGATTTTTTATTACAACACATATATAAAGAATATTGTGATTCAACATTGAAGTCAATGAAATTCATGCAGAAAATCATTGTAAGATCAGAGGAAAATTTACAAAAAACTTTCATTTACATAGTTTCAGATTTGCAAATTATCGCATTTCTAGTAATATGCGTAACTAATCAATTTCTAATCTTGTGCTCTACTTTGAGTGCACAGAATTCTTTAATATGACTACTTAAATAATAAATAAATATTTCTTCTACAGTATACGGGGTGACTGGTGAATGACTATCAATATTTAAGGAGAATACTCGGTACATGATTCTCATTCGAATTATGTAAAAAAAGTAGGCACTTAATTTTTGACAAAATTTCCGTATAAATAAATAAAGTGTTGACACGTTCCAAGTGTTCCAAGTGTGGACGCGTGGTGTTGTATCAGCACGTCGCCGCACGCGTATGTGTGAGTGTGTGTGTATACCTAATCTGTAGGGTGTTCACACGATGCGTAATTAATTACATAACTTTTGGTTAACTTTACTTAGAAGTTTATTAATATTTATGTTATATTAATTTTTATTTTGTCATATATGATCGTCAAATATCACGTCCTCAAGTATCGATAGTAATTAACCAGTCACCCCGTATATTAATAAAAAAAAACCAAATACAAAAAAAAATTATAGTATAGGTAAATCACATTACTCATTTTGTAATATTTCTGTATTAAGTAATAATTATAATTATCCTCATAATCACAAAATTTATATAATGATTTCATAGATAGAAATTTTATATACATACATATACAGGGTGACTGGTGAATTACTATCAATATTTAAGGAGCATACTCGGTACATGATTCTCATTCGAATTATGTAAAAAAAATAGGTACTTAATTTTTGACCAAATTTCCGTATAAATAAATAAAGTGTGTACACGTTCCAAGTGTTCCAAGTGTTGACGCGTGCGGCGGCGTGCTGATACAACACTACGCCGCCGACGCGTCTGTGTGAGTGTGTGTGTATACCTAATCTGTAGGGTGTTCATACGATGCGTAATTAATTACATAACTTTTGGTTAACTTTACTTAGAAGTTTATTAATATTTATGTTATATTAATTTTTATTTTGTCATATATGATCGTCAAATATCACCTCCTCAAATATCGATAGTAATTCACCAGTCACCCTGTATATAATATAGGAAGTGTATGAACACCATTCATAATCACAAAATATTATATTACAATGTTACATTCAACACGGTTGAGAAACCATATTGCTTGGAATTTATTACTGTAATGCACTGAACATATATATAAATGTACTCTCTATGTCAATCTATAGTGATGAATCATAATTAAGTTTCTATCGGACAATTCAAATTAACAGTTTTTTCATTAATCATATATGAAAGTATCCTATACTGACATACAAATTATTATTTTCTAAATTCTTGTCTTGATTCTTTAAATTTTTTATTATTTCTAAGGTGTAACTTAGTCTACTTCTTAACCCTTTTCAAATAGGAGGAGGTTCTTTATTTCACTTAATGTTTGTTAGCCTGACTTAATGTTTGTTTGATTCAATCAAGTAGTAACATTAGCTTTGGACGGAAAACAAAAAACTACTTTAAACTAATGGTATCTAAGATTTTCATTTAAATGAAACCAATATTTTTGGATTTACTATGTGATTTTTATTTTTGCTTATAACTACATACTCCTGACGTTTCAGTTATTTTACAGCAACTGTGATCACGGGCAGATGAGATGTGCTCATCCCGTGTTCATGGCTAATGTAAAGTAACCAAAACATCGAGAGTATGCAATTTATAATCAAAAATAAAAATTGCGTAGTAAATCCGAGAATATTAGGTAGTTTAAACTAATTTTATTTATAATCTAACATAATATATGACCTACTTGATGTAAGCTTGTATAGTGTATGAGGGTTAATAAAATTATTTTTATATAAGTCCTACTTAACATTCCTGATCAATGGACATCATTCTTTGGCTTAAATAGATAGTTTAACACTTAAACACAAGAACCTCATTCTTGGGTGTATATTAGTCATACTTAAATAAATGAACATTGTTTCTTATTATTGAAAATCATAACAGATATTTCTATTTTCTATAGGAATGTTTATGTAAATGAGTTTTGGAAGAATTTTCAAATATACATTTTATGGAATGGTCATTTCCATTCTCATTATGTTAGGTAGCAAGTAAGGGTTTATGAAAAATCAAATAAAATATGATGATGATGATAAATGCAAACTCCTTTGAAATACACACAAATGCAGGCAAAGCCATAGGCAACAGCTACTATAGTATATTACATAATTGAACATAAATAAACATTATTTTTGATACAAATATGAAATTTCTATTTTACTAATAAAAGACTATATAACACCTTTAAACTGGTCAGACTAGTAGTTTTACATAACCATATTAAATAATGATTAAGTAAAGTTTTGTTATAGTTACATAAATAGAACTGAATCATAAATATTGAAAGGTGGTTAGTTGAAATATTTAAATAAAAAACTTTTATAAATATTTTAATATGATTTTTCATAATTTTAGATGAAGTTGCATTTATACTAGTTATTGTCATACAGGAAGGAATATATTTATGAATTACTCATTGAATAGTCCCCTTGAAAGTTATGTTTTATATAAATATAAAGTTTTTTGCATACTTTTGTAAAGTGTGTATAGCTTATTAATGGAACTCATTGCTAAGCTTATTAATAGGACTCACCGTAGCTTCATTACACTCAGAGCATTTGACGACGTGTTGTTCTCTCTTGCCAGATATATCAATCATAGCCTGACACACGCGACATGTAACCATAGGCATCCCCGCCTGCTGGTAAGGCGGAGGCAGTTCATCAGGACCGATCGGCGAAATAGTACTCACATTTTCATCCTCTGCCGATTAGAAAAATCAACTTAAAAATTGCCCCCACATAAAATATAATTTTCACTTTCACAACCATTCTTAATTGGTTTAACGCTTATCAAATTATATTGTCTTAAAAACTTTGTTTAGCAACAATACATATCACTTTAGTTGAATCATCAACTGTCAAAACAAAAAAAATAACGCAGCTACTCACCATCCCTCAACAATGGTTGATTTTCACTTTGTCCGTCACCCATTGTTTCAAATAACTAATTTATTTGCACAATTTGTTAAAACTTGATATTATTCATGAATTCTTTCGACGTAAATTAACATACCAGGTTCTACTCTTCAACCATAGCAGAAAAAAACTAAGCCACAGACTAACAAATATAAATCATTAATTATTCCGTCATATTGCCATATAAGAAATTTACAAAGTACATCTTTTAAACATACTGTAATAAACATTATACACATCATTAAAAATATGATTTATTAAAAAAAATACCTAGAATTTTGATTGTTATTACAGTTGGTATTTGTTCATAAACACGAGCAGTAAGAGAATGTGACATTTGCACTTTCAAAATGTATGTATGATGATTGACGTCGGTTGTCAAATTGCTTAATGTCAAACCTTGGGGACCATGTGTTCTTGTTTTTAAATTTATAACAAAAATTATACATTATTTTAAGAAAATGGCTTGTAAGCTACATCGAGTGAGATATTATAATCCAAAACCGGTACAAATAAATTGTGTCTCATTTAATAAGACCAGTAAACGAATAGCTTTGGCAAGGTAAGGTATGAATTTAAATATCTGCGTGTTTTAAATATCGCCAATGTATATTTTTAATTATAATACTTTTAACACAGACAAGACGCGTCTATAGAAATATGGGATTTAAATTATGCACCTCTCCTTGTGCAATGTATTTCTGGCACGGAAGATACTTCGGTGGAAGCTCTTGGTTGGGTGCACGACAGGCTTTTATCAACAGGGCTTGGCGGTGCTCTTATAGAATGGGATCTAGAGAGTCTGAGGATAAAATGTTCAGTGATGCTCACGGGTTATGCCGCTTGGTGTCTTGATGTAAACTCGGCAAACACTGTGGTAGCTGTTGGTACAGAACAAGGCTACATCAACTTATACTCTGTAGAAAATAATGAAATTGTCTATAAAAAACTCTTTGACAAACAGGAAGGCAGGATTATGTGTTGTAAATTTGATAAAACCGGCAACACTCTGGTTACAGGTAATATAAAAATGTTTTAAACCAATATCAAGATATTTTTCATTTGCTGGTTTGTTTATTATTATAATTTTTTCTAAAATATACCATCTCTTTTCTATGAAGATTATGAAACTAAATTTAATCATAAAACTTATTATGAAACAAATTTATTATCAATGTCTAGATCCTTTTCATAAAAATCTCCAAAAATAAGACTATAAATAAATAATATTATATGTCCAAAGTAAATAATGGTCTTCGGAAATAATGTCTAGCATCTTCGTAAGACACCTTCCACTCGTGATGTTTATACAAAGTAAGAATAAATGTAAAAATTTTAAGAAAATAAATGTAAGCATGAATTGGAACATAAATTATGTTTTATTCTTCTAATTGTATGAGTATAAACCCAGATTAACAATAAATATAATTTTAAATAAAACACCATGTTATTATAGTAAATATTTTTGTTTTCAGGCTCAGTGGACACCATAAGAGTTTGGAATGTAGAGATGGGATATGCTACTTGCAGGATTTCCGTCAACAGAAGGGGCAAAGAGACTATAGTGTGGTCGTTAGCTGTACTTTCTGATAACACTGTTGTGTCCGGAGACAGTCATGGAAGACTTACATTCTGGGATGGCAACCTCGGAGATCAGGTAATATATAAAACTTAGAAATGAGTTAAATTAATCTTGTTAATATAAAATTAAACTCAAATAACATATTAAGGTTAAGTCTAAATAACACTATAAATGTAAAAATTATGAGGCGTTTGGATGTTTGTTACTCTTTTAGAAAATCATCTTGAGGTATATTGAGGAGACTTCAATAATGTAGCTTAGCTATTATACATACATACATAAATATCTAAATTCTCTATGGTTCCTATCTTAATTTAAAAAACTAATTCTTAGTGTTATATCGAAATACTTTTAGATTGAAGCCTACACAACCCACAAGGCTGACATTCTGTCCATTGTTGTGTCGGATGATGAGAGAAGTCTATACTGCAGTGGAGTGGATCCAGTCATAACCAACTTTGTGAAGGTCAATAACAGTGCAGGCAAACAGACATGTGCTCGCTGGGTGAAAAATGTTCAGAGGAATATTCATGAACATGATGTAAGGTAAATGGGCATCATTTAAAATTTATCAATTTTTTTTTACTATAATTGTAAATATTTAGTTGTTAAATATTATACACTCAGGTCTGCTCCCAATCTCTTGGTTAATCTAATGTATGTTTCTATTTGTGATTTATTTATTTCATATATATACTTAATACATAAATTTTTATTCTGATAATATTTTCATTATTAAATGCACATTACTTTTGTGCTAAGTCAAACGTTATTTTAATTGTTTTCCTTTAATTTTTAGAGCTCTTATTCTGAACGGTGAGAAATTATTATCAGTTGGAGCCGATGGATATTTGACACTATCAAGTTACCCACCGAAGTGGGTGATGAGAATCCCACCCATGATTCCAGCACCAAGATCATCAGTTAGCGCTCATAACAAGTTATTACTCCTTAGGTAAATAATATACATTTATTATTTCATGCAATATAATCACATGACGTTATGTCTCATACTTGTGACTCACCACTATTTTTATTTGTTTATTCTTAGTTTATTCTTATTTTTATTCTAGTTTTACAAAAACAAAGAAAATTATGTTAAACTTTAACAAAATAAATTAAAATTGTTTTTAATATATGTATTAAGTGTTTTCTCTCTGGTATTTTCTCAATAAGATTAAACTTACAACTCCTTTTTTTCTCCTTCGTTTATGTACAATTATTTACAATTGCAATGTAAATATAATGTGAATTAAGAATGTTGTCATAGAATTTGTTATACCATTTATTTAGTCACTACTAAATTAGTAAAATTGAGGATAAATGCCATCATACTTTATATGTGATATTATAAACAACTTATAAAAAATTTAAAAATGAAATATCTTTACAGATACAGCAATTTTCTTGAAATATGGAAATTGGGTTCGTATGCCGTCAACAAGAATGGTAATGTCACAGTGAATAGTGTCAATGTGGAGCCGAGTCTTAATTCAAGTAACAACCAATTGGAACAAGATTCACAATTCATAACTCAAGTAGGAAAACACACTCAGAAACAGACTTTAAAACTGACAGAGCAGCCAACACGACTGGTCTCTATACAAACTAAGGGAAAAAAACAGATAAGATGCTGTGAAATGTCACCGAGTGGAGAATTGATTGTATATTCAACGGACAGCGATTTGAGAATGCTGAAGTTGGATTGTGTAAGTATTATTTTGTAATTAATGAAAACCATTCTTAGCTTCAAACAGATAAGTATATATAGATAGTTGTATTTTCGTTCAGTAATAAATAAAATTAGAGTCTGTTTATCTGTTATTCACTAATCATATTTAATATTTATGTATATGCGATAAATTGCCAATTTTTAGAATTTTTGTCTGTTTTTTGTTCTGGCTAACATACTAGTGCGACTGGACCGATTCTGAAGCGAATTTCACCAGCATATAGTGAAATTCGCCTATAATATATAATAAAATATAGTGAAAAACCAGCATATATGTCAGAGAGTAAATTAAACATAATTTAACCACTTTTCAAAAACGTAAAAGTTCTTCATTCGAGTGTTAAACGTTTAACGCAACCTTTTTTGAAGTGGCTTAAGAAATTTCACTACAATAAAATGCTTATGCTTTACAAAACCTATGAATTACAGGATGATGATCAAAGTAATGTATCACTAACCAAAGTATTCATAAATGGTCTATCATACTGTGAACGGGTTGCCTTCACCACTGACTCGAGGACATTAGTGGCTTATAGAGATGGGACAGTGTACATATTACAAGTTGATCCAGAATCTGGTGCAACGGTTGTACAGACATTACCATGCGATCAATGTGAGTTCAATTTGATTGTTTTAATAATTATTTTATGTTTTATATGTAATTTTCATATTACCTGTATGTGTATATGTTTAAATATTGGGTGAGTGTGTGTGTGAGTGAGATAAAAATAGTTTATATAGATTTTTTGTATTTCAGATTTTAAGATAATATCTACTCTACATTTTGTTGTATACTTATATGTGTATATGTTTAATATTGAGTGATATACTAATAGTTCATTACATTACTCTTGTATTTCAGATCTCAAGATGAAATCTATTCTCCATCTTGTTGTATCAAAGGATGTTTCCGGAGATACATATGTAATTGTATCTGATACTCAAGGGAATATAGCTGTTTGGGTGAAGAACAGTTCCAAGTTTGAGTACCACGCCTCATTACCTAGATACCACTGTTTGCCATCGGCTATGTCGATTGAGGAATTGTCAAATATTCTTATTATTGCTTATGTGGATCAAAAGGTTAGATCAGCATACAGTATGAAAATTACTAATAATGTCTTTATATATTTATATCTATACAATAATTACTATTTCGATTATAATTTCATCATATAAAACTAGCTTAAAATCAATAGGTTATAATTGTTTTCTAGATAATACAATATGATCTGTGTCGTAAAAAAGTAATCAAGAATAATTTCTATGACGTTACAAATTTGAGTGAAAGGACTTGGGCTATTACTGGAGTGACGTCACATCCTGTGAGACCAGCGACAATCTTTTATGATGAAATTTCACTAGCGGTCGTGGAGAAAAATTTGCAGGTTGGATAAAGAATTCTAATAATAATATGAGTTTGTTTGGATGGATGGATGAAAACACACAAGCTTGAGAATTAATTAATTATTTGTATTAAAACTAAATTTTATTTACTCCCAACCAAAAAACATCAATAATTTTGTATGATATTAAACAGATGTCGCTATCGTTAGGTCACCAAATTTATTTTTCAATGGCATACTATTTAAATAATACATTATATGAAGTCCCTATTTTATTTATTTCTAAACTCAATTAAGGACAAGGAAAAAATTATTTTCATTAATTTGATATTTAAGTCTTATGATTTCCAGACAGGTCCTCAATTCGTTTCCTAAATCGAATTATTTCTTTCAGCTATGAAATAGGATATTATTTTAATAATAATATATTTTCTCTTTTAGAACGGATCTTACGAACCAACGCCAAAGAAGAAGAACAAAAACGATAAGAAACACAGATCAAAAATTATTCCCTTCAAGGTATTTTATTCGTGCCATAAGCATTCTGCAAATGTGATTAGCTATTTTAAGGTTTTGTATAAATATTTAATATATTTTTTCAGTATTTGGTTGGATTCCACTGGCTGGGAGACGATGAGGCTGTGTCTTTGGAAGTCTTACCTGAGAATATTATATCACAGTTACCGCCGGTATTGGCTATGAAGAGACATTCGTGATAAATGTATTATATAAATAAAAAAATATTAAAATCACGTCTTTTTATCCGCTTTTATATCCTACTATACACAATTATCTTCTATATAGTAAGAAACGCTTTACGTTAGATCTACTGATTTGTCATTTGTATGTAATTTTAACTTTATATCTGAGTATAATAAAAGGGGCTAAAATTTAATGATGATTTCAAACAATAAATCTAGAACATTCTATTTGGTATTAATTTCACGTTTTTATACAGAAACATAGTCGCCATGTTGTTAAAGTATATAAGGAAAATCCCTACTATCCCTACTAATATTATAAATGCGAAAGTAACTCTGTCTGTCTGTCTGTCTGTCTGTCTGTCTGTCTGTCTGTCTGTCTGTCTGCTACGCTTTCACGCCTAAACCACTGAACTGATTTTAATGAAATTCGGTACAGAGATAGAGTTGACCTTGAGAAAGAACATAGGATAGTTTTTATCCCAGACTTTTGAAAGGTTCTCTTGGAAACGCGATATAACCGAACTCCACGCGGCGAAGCTGCGGGCGGAAAGCTAGTAATATTATAAATGCGAAAGTAACTCTGTCTGTCTGTCTGTCTGTCTGCTACGCTTTCACGCCTAAACCACTGAACTGATTTTAATGAAATTCGGTACAGAGATAGAGTTGACCTTGAGAAAGAACATAGGATAGTTTTTATCCCAGACTTTTGAAAGGTTCTCTTGGAAACGCGATATAACCGAACTCCACGCGGCGAAGCTGCGGGCGGAAAGCTAGTAAATAAATAATTCTTTTCATTTTTATAGTCTCAACTCTAAACAATTTGCATATTTAAGTTAACTGGGCTACTCGTTGTGTCTGAATGTACAAAGTTTTTACAAGTTTTACATTTTCAAAGTTTTCCCCATCACCTGCCGGAGGGAAAAACGGGAACAGCCGACTCTCGAATACTTTAAAACATTGATTTATAATTATAACACGGCTAACTTTAATTACAGAATAAATACAAGTTACAAAATTGTTTGGCTTTAGTATGATTATACGTTAGTTCAGAAATTATACATACATTTAAATAAAGTTGGAGTGTCTGTGTCTGTATGTGATATCTTAATAATTGCTTTTTACTACGTGTATATTAATATATTTACGGTACATAAACAAAAGAACATTTTTCACAATTTTTGTTTGTTCCGCCAATTTCTGAAATTGCTGGACCGATTTTGACGGGACTTTAATTGGCGGATAACTGATATAATAAGGAGTAACTTAGATTACTTTTTATACCGATTACGAATAGGCGGTGGGGCGCAATTGATTTTTTTTTTTGTTTTTTTACGCGTATAGGGATGGAATCGCGGGTAACAACTAGATTGTCATTAAATAAAATCAATTACTTAAGGTATACCTATTATTATAAAAATAAGAAAATATTTAACCAATCACAATTTAATTGTTTAGTATTTCTTAATAATTATGACTTGTTACAAATTATGTCCATCTTGATGTGAGTTTTGTTACAAGCTGTCCAATTTAAACTGTGTGACCGCGAGCTGCTGAGGTCGCGCCCACATGTCGTCTGTCACCTCGCAACGTGACTTAGGTAGATTGTAAGATATGGGATCTCCTTCGACACTCCTATAATAAAAAAAACAATATACATACAATAGCTTAAAATACAATTGCAAAATAAAATATTAACCAATTAAAACTGACATTTAGTTATTCGATTTTTAAAATACTAAATGTCAGGTGCTCTATGAGGACGTGTAAAAATTGGGCAGAATATTTTAAACCGTTTCTTAGTTGAGAGCGAATATTTAAAAAAGTTCTCATGCATTCAGATAAGCATACCGTCCTTTTTGGTGTCGCCACAAACAAAAATAACTTTACCCTAAAAACATTACAGTTTGCTTGTATGGGTCATAAATTTGTCCCGGCGGAAGCGGCGGACGGACGGGGAAGTGGCGAGCTGTTTGAACTATCGGTCCATATGCCTCCAGGCTGCATTTGGCGCGACGACCAATCATAGCTATATATAACACGATATAGAATAATCAATACATATATACCAAATAATATAATTTTTTTATTGCATATTAAATAAAAGAAAAAGCAAGCAATAAATATTTATTTTTAATAGTTAAAACAACTGTCTTATCGTCACATGCCAATTTCTATACAGACAATATCAATCATTATAATATAATAGTATATTATGTATAACCATTTTATCATTATGCATGTAACTCAGTATATTCTTGCTCCTACATATTCAAAGTTACCAGAAGTAGTTTGCGGTAATGGCGTAGGAGACGGTTCAACTTGCACAGTAATTTCTCTTTCTGGCTTGCAACTTACTGAACGGACTGCTGCTCTGTACTCATCTAAAGTCATTCCTGAAACGAGTAACTTGAGTAAAATGAGTAAATTTCAATTACAAACTAAATTTTAAACTCAGCTTTAATAGTAAATTATATTTTTATTTAAATTATAAATGTGATGAAAACAATAAGCTATATAAAGGAATATACGTGCGATGTTAAGGCATTTTGAATTTTGTATTCAGGTACACGAATAATGCATTGGTGTTGACTTCAAACTGAAGTAAAAGAAGGTAATATTGAAAACAGTGTGAAGTCAAAACAATAAGTGAAGAAAGAAGATAAGAAATCAGTGAAGACAAAATAGATACTCTTCAAAATCAACGATGGCACCAATATATATCTAAACAATGTTGATTCAATAGATTTTGTTATTTTACAAGTCATACCCATCTTCAGTGCCTCTTCTTCTTGCATTTCTCTAACACGAGTAAGAAAGCTCCATCGTTGTTGCCACAGTCTTGCTGCATGCTTTTCTTTTTTTGTGACTGATGTCCTTAATTCAAAGACATATTGGAATACTTCATAAAATTTAATACTTAAACTATGTAGGTATACTTATTTGACGATGAATTTATTTGTTTGTATTGATTAAATGATTCTATCTGGTTTTAATACCTAAGAGGTCTTTCTTGATTAGAAAGTCAGTTAGAATTCGGTGTAGCTATAAGCTGAAATACTGTACGTACCAAAAAGCAATTGTTTTTGTAGGCAATACTGAAACTTTAATACACGTAATATCACAGTTTAAATCTATTTTAAAACGAATAATTATCTTCTATTGTAGGAGTTTTAGTGTATTTTTATTTTATTTACACAAAGCTTACAATATACCCTGCGCTTTCACAGGGTCCGTTGAGAGTTCACGTCTCACGCCGGGAGGAGGCTGATTCGTATTTTCCATTATATGTTCATTTATATCGTATATTCCCAATGCATTGAGAAATCACAGCAATTGAAAATATACACGAGATTGTTTTATAGACAGCTACATCTCTTAGGAAACGAATCGCGCTGGAATAATTGATCAAACTTTTGCAATGATTTAACAATACAGTATCAAATACTATATCGTCATTACAAATGCAATAATGCATTTAAATGAAGGTAATATATATGGTAATTTTATTAAGAAATCTTAAAAATCGTTTTTAAAGTTACAAAAGGCATTATTTCTATGTTACTTCATTCGTCGTATCTATGACGCAAGCTGAATACTTGGGCGTTTTATGCGCTCAGTGCGCAGGTCGATTGCTATATACTACGAGTAGATATGTCAGATGTTCTTTCGACCAGGTTGTCCTCTAACAGTCTTTGAAACTTCGTCTATACTAACATTTAACCATTGTCTCTCAAAAACTAATTACGTCGGATATTTAATATGCATGACCGTAGGTCGAGGAACGTTTTTTGTATACATCTGATGTCGCTGTGAAGATTATCAAAATATATTACAAAAATAATACTTATGGTTATTTTATTAGTATTAATTCAGTCAAATGTAGCAATCATTGTTAAATAAAATAGATTGTACCATCATCTAAATTGTTTCTTTACAAAATGAATGTTTAAATTTCAAGTGATACAGCTATTACGTAATACTCAGAGTAATTCAGAAAGTAATCAAGACACAATCACACCTGCCGCTAAGGTTGAACGAGCACAAACACACGTATAGCCAATGATAATACAACGTGACCCAATTCACAGGGAGTCGACAAAGCTAAAAGGTCGTGGAAACCCCCCTCCGACCCACCTCGTCTAGACGTGACATTATATAGTACAAGCATGTACTTAAACGCATTCGACACACTTTTACGATCATTTTATTGTTAATATATTTACTCATTACAATACATAGATAATTGCGATTTAAGTAGGTACTTAATAACTTAATCAATGCTTCGTTTCAGGCTAATGTATGTATTATATCTATTTCATACGTCACTTGGAATTACAAAACAAAATGATTATTCTTATTTTGAATTTGCATTTTTTTTAAATTTCGTTTCAGCCAGGCATAGATTAAAAGCAACATGTCCTCAAAATCTTAATTTTCTGTCAAAAAGTCTTATATGGTTTCCCCGATATAGGTCAAGTGAAGCTGTAGAACGCGCATGCTCCATCTTCATTTCCAAAGTAGGGTATTCTTATTATGTGAATGGACCTAAAATTAGTGCCTCCTTTTAAATCTCTCTCCTACAAGCAATACATTCCGCTCATTAAACTAACAACTACACAAAACAATCTTTACAAATAAATCCATTTATATATAAAATCCTGTACTTAGATTATTCTTTGCAAATAACTATCGTATCTGTATGAACAATTGTATTATTTACAAGCCGTCTGTAGTAGCGGGTGCATTAAATAATGTAAATCCAATTCGCGTTCTGTTGCTAAGCGTAGACAATGACGTTGCATTTTAGAAACATTACAGGCGTTCGGTTCACCTCCAGACGATTTCCACGGCTCGTCTGTTGTCCTCGGGCACACGAGAACCGTCTACGTAAACAACTAGACTTTATAACACTCTTTATAATCGATGGATTTACTATGCGTCTCGACTCTCGTGTAACTGACGGGGTAAATGATCAATCACTTAATAAACACGCAATCAACTTATATATAATATAGAATGTAATTTATCAAGATTCAAAATGTTTTAAACGCTCTAATTAATCTATTTGTTTGTCATCTTTGTTATTAATAAGTTCGTATTATTATTTTAGTAATAATACAAGCCAGTAATAACCAGTTTGTATAACAAAAAGCGCAGTAAAGTGCAGTGCACTGCAGCCATGTTTTTCTCGTTTCAACCTTCAGACGGTCTGTTCTAGCTCGCACTGTTAACTCTAGAGTCTAGACGAATTGCATTATGGAAATTTATATACCTACAAATACACTAATGTTGTATTCAATTACGTTTATTCTTTGGTAATATTTTATGAGTACGAGAAGCAATCGGGTAATGATAGCAATTTCACATTCTTTAGTTTATTTAATAGTTAAGTTTTGAAATACTAGTATTGTAATATCTGATCATGTTGAGATATTAAATAATAATTAGTTCTATAATATCAATGAATGAATGGGAAGCATTTTAATATTTTATTTTCTTGATATCTTTATGATAGCCTCTATATGTACACTTGGGAGATTATTACAATTTAATAGTTAATATTACAGCTTTTCATTTATTATTTTAAACGTAGATAAACTATGAACAGAGAGAATAAAATATCTTTTTTCTAATTTGCTGATATTCTACATAATGAACATAATAATATGGTATATTTATTTGGCACTACTTATAGGTATAGCTCAGTAGCGACGTCTGAATTATTTTTGGTACAATTAGAGATTATAAAATATGTCGTTCTTTTTTTAAATATTTGAAACTGTTATACATAGATCGAAGTGACGACAGAGGTCGGAAAATATGGAGTATCTAAGTAAATAAAAAATGTATATTAGGTAATGTGTAACAAGACATGATTGTCGAATGTCATTTTTTTAATTGCTAATAAAAAAGTGGTTTTAACTTGTTCAGTATCATTACAAAAAAATTATAAATGTCATCACCTCATAAATAAAAAAATATTTGCATGCTAGATATTAATTACGAAAAGTTATTAAAGAAATGAGATATCTGCACACGGCGTGACAAGAAAATGGCTGATATTGAATAAATAAACATTAATTTATATTATGTAGTAAAATATTAAAAAAATATAAACATCCGACGGAAGTGAATGAAATGATTTATGAATGTATTTGGGGCGGATAAGGAGTGTAAAAGTCACAATTTTTGGCATCTTTTAATCTCTCTACTTTCATATTAAGTAATAGGAATAAATTTTCTGAATATAAGTACATATTAAATTAACAAAATCTTCCTAATTATATCTTTATTCACGTAAAAGTTATTTAAAGATATCATATTAATTCAAATAACGCTGAAGAAAGACATATAAAATCCTATAACGTATGTATTTTTAATAACACGCATTTAGCCTTGCAGTTTTTAAATTGTTACGGCTACATAAAGTTTCATAGCAAATACTAAAAATGTCAACTTTATGACATTTTTATATTCGAACCGCTGCACTACAAATCTAAATTTTGCATTGTTTTTATGTTTTACGACTCATGAATAACGGCCGCTTCTATTTTGAACGCAATTAGATCGTCAGCTTGCATTATGGGTCGAAGTATTGCAAAAATTCATCCTTAGAGTTCGTTCGGTTCAGTATTAACAAACGTATTGCATTATAAACGATTTCACAGCGTCTGTTTGGGCCGTATTCCTTAATAGGTCGCTGTAAGGTCGATCGAAGAGGGAGCCCGACCCCACGCGTCGCTCCGTGTCCTATTTTTTGCCACAGTAGATTGCTGTAATCGCTGACAGGCGACGCGCCAACCGTTAGTTACGACCGCTCCACTTTAAACCTCATCCATTTTAATTTAACAAAAGTGCCGGCCGATAGCGCGGAGGAAGGAGTCATTTCCGTTTGCCTCTGTCTGTCCGACTGACTCACGAGCCCGGCCCGCCGGTAAAAACATATCCCGGAATCCCCCATGACGATCTTATAAAAAACACTCTGAACGCTACCCAGTCATCTAATTTTTCTTATTGGTACATATATTTCACCGTCAAATTCTCTATATACGTGCATTGAACGACGTTCATTCATATACTTCATATATCGATATAAAAATAGATTGAGAATTGAATCACGTTGCTTTACAAGTGTAGCATAAAAATATTATTGTTCTACAGAATCTAGAAGTATCTGCTGAAATATTTCTATACACTTTTATTACTAAGAATATAGTACATATAGTGGTAATGCTCATGATCTAATTGTTATTGGATGCGATTACATAACATCGTTCTCCTTAATGCAAGTGTGACGTCACGTAATAGTCAGACACATAGTCTGGCCGTGCGACGCGTCATACGAAATGCAGACCTTTGAGAACTAGGAATATAGCTGCTGCCATTTATTATCTAGGATCTAGTACGATCGTAAACCCACTGTTATAACTATCAGTTCTGAACACAATAAATACACATTCCTATAGTATCGTAATATAAATATCAGAATATAATTTACGATATTCTAAAGACTTATAATCTAGAGGCTTACGTATCTCGTACTTCAAATCTGACTCTAATATAGATTGAAATACAGATAAAAAAAGAATCCCTTTCATAAAGGTCAGCGTATTTTCAGATGAGAGAAGCAAAAATGAAATATAATTTCGGCTCAGACTATACAATAGATATATAAGTACGTCGTGAATAGAAATTAAGTCTGCTCTAGATAGGTGAGCATTGTGCTCGAGGCGCCCTTCACAGTCCCTGATCATAATCCTCTCGTAAATGACCGTCGCGATAAACGAATATTCTGCCGAATATTTAACCGATTAAGGAATATTATTTAGACGTTAGAACCGTGAAAACCTTACGCCAGACTGAATATAGCCTGAATATTTTATTCATCGGCTTAATATAAATAAAACCAACTTTAATTTACATCAACTTTGGAATTAAAATAGACAAAATAATAAAGATTTCATACTTATATACGTAGCGTACACATCACTACAAAGGTCGTATTATCTTTTACAAGTCTATAAATATGAGCAAAACATTTGGTGCGTATTTAATCCAGTCTAGCTGCTTCGTTGGAGCGTGAAAATTGCATAATACGTGTAGGTATAGCTGACCTTCACCTTGTACGTCACCGTCTGGCCCCACGACACCCTCCGCCCTTAAATAAAACGTAATTTCATTAAATATACGGAATAATACAGAGCTAATAACGTTTATGGCATATTACGTGTATAGTTGAATTGCAAATTTTATTTAACAAACATATATATTTAATATCTTTCAGACTGAATAAGTGATATCATTTAAATAACGGTCACAATCACAATATGGCGAATGAGCTTCACATGCATGCTACATCCTTTGTTGTTATCTTAATTTATTAAAAATAATAATGCCAAAACGTTTTATTTATAATTTTAAAAAAACATAATGTAACTATTTCTTAAACAATAAATATTATATTTATTCAGACAGTCATTTATTTTCAACTTGTTATAACCATAAACAAAATAGATAAAACATAGACTATGACATCAGTTCCAAATGATTTTTTATCTGTACGCGAGTATTCAATTACGAATAGAGAAAGAATAGGCATCCTGAAATGGAAATATAACAGACATAGTAGGAGCATCAATTGTTTTAAATCACGTGCAATTTTATTTGCACAGATCATCATTATTATTTATCCGATAGATAGTTGCAGAGTACGAAAGAGTGAATCTATTTATTGACTAACTTCTCAAGGAATTGCAATATAAAATATAATATACATTATTCAAATATATTTATATAAAAATATACACTGAATTATTTATATCTAAAAAAGTAAACCATGTTTTTTTTTATATTTTATCTAATCGTTCCTGTGTCATGTTATACACGCAAGTCGTGTAGCTCTTATAATTAATTTCTAACAAATTTACCCGATTATATTTTAACTTTTTTTTTAGCTTTAACGAATTTTGTGTCTATTTTTTTATATAATGTTAATTTTTTACACGTTTATATCGTGTTTATGTTACGTTAAACTAAATTGTTATTGAGATATAACATTTTCATTATGTTATGCAAATAAGCGAATCAAAATAATACTGTTCTTTGAGATAACAAAACTTTTAATTAAGAATATATAACATGAGATACAGGGAATAATTACCCTAGAAAAGTACTGTTTAAGTCTAATAAAATATTATTTAAGGAACAATTTAAATTCGTTAATTATATCAAGTCAAATTGTTCCAGCAAATATTTGTTCTTATTGTTACCATAATTTATTTAAGAACGAGAATTGTCGGTGGCATTCATATTTTCAAGTAGCTACAAGAAATTCTTTCGCAAATAAAATTCTGTTGCTTTTCCAATGTATATTAAATTCCAGTTGCGTACTTATATTTGTATTTTAATATCGTTTCATTATATTTATTTATTTACTTTCATTTATATTTTTCGTGTTAACTACACTGTACACATAGCACTTTCGTATAGGTTTACATTTTTTACATACGTAATATTTGTGTTTTGTTTTAAATTTTTCTACATAATATACGTTAATTGTTTCAAATCTGTGATTAACATTTCATTACACTTCAGTTTTTAGATACAATTAAAATGATAACATTAATTCATTTATATTTTATGCTTTCAAATTTGAAGCGGGAGTTACGATTTTAGTAAAGTTTCTGGGGTATAATTACGAAATTTTGATAAGCTAAGTGAACCGTCTTCTATACCATTAATATTAGTTTTTTCAGTTTCATTCTATAATGATATAACTCATGATAGTACCAACGTATTTATGACGCTGAGTATTTAGTGTGACGATGCAAACTTGAGGTGTGGCCATTAAATATTCCCAGAGAATGTGTTTCTCAATCATTATTATAACATGCTATATAGAAACCAACTGTTTTCTTGTAAACCGGCTATAAGTACATGTTTAAAATTTTAAACAGCGAACTACATAGACAACAAAAGGCAGTAGGAGGCACGACGCGGTTTTACCAAAACCAAAGAACTACAGGAAAGGTTAGCGAAAAAAATGACTGAAAATCGTCACTGACAAACGTGTCACTGATTACTAGAGAAGTTTAGGAGAGATTACTAGAGGGCATAAAACCATACTGATGTACTTGTCTTGTTGTAAAACGGACAAATAGAGTCCATAAAAATTTACTAAAAACAATTTTTCGAATATGGGAGTGCCTAGATGTGGTCAAATTACTGCAGCTCTAACATGGTCTGGCTCAAATGGGGAGGTACCACCTTCTCATAGAAGATCGGCGTGAAATAGCCTTAAGTGGCTGAATTTTGTTCGATGAGTGAGAGAGCCGCTTACCCTTTCCCTTTTTCTACCCTTTCCCTAATCCACTCCCTTTACCCCAATCAATGGTGGCAACGCATCTGCAAAATACTTTAACGAATGTCCATGGGCGATGTTACGACCTCCGTCAGGTAGGCCGTCTGTTCGTTTACCCCCTTTGTCATAAAAGAAAACACAAAAAACTATAATTATGCCATAACTATACTATCGTTGTATGGAATATTATTATTTTCATTTAGTCGCCTCATTTCCAGTTTTTATTAACTTGCATTCCCCATTGCCGTCAATGTTGAATGACGACACTTTGTTATAAATGATAATGCAGCTATTTTTATTATCCTTAAAACTTTTTCCATGAAATTCCTTGCTTATAAAAATATTAATTATAATAATATTCAAAAATATTAAAGGTGTTTTATAGTATTTATGACGTTTACTAGATATAAATTCGTAACAACATTTTAAAACCCTTTTGTTTTCTCTTTCTGTTTGTTCATATAAATATTCTTAAATAGTCATTTTAATAATAATAGCCGTTGAAAAAGTAGCATTTATTTTATTATAGGTAATATTATATAGAATTCAAATTAGCGAAGTCGGGGATCAAAGTTAGTCAACAAAAACAGTTTTCTATGAATTTATATTTAAACAAATTTTATAGAGAAATACTTTGTCATAAAAATTATGTTGTCAATAGATAACAGCATTCTTGAATTAATGTTTTCTTATAAAAGGCAGTTGTGAGACTAAAATGAACTGATTATTACACACAAAATGTTATTATCCAAAGTTCTTTTATGCGTTTTATTTTTTTACGGATGTCATGGTTACCAGGTGTACCCCTTGCATGAAATTAAAGACTTAGCTTACGACAGCATAGATGAACCGGCAATTGGTGTGTAAGAAACTTATTATATTCTATTATATTTCTTAATGTTCACAAATTAACCTTTTTTACAGAATCGTCTCCTGTAACTGGAGAAAATGAAGTGAAAGGTAAGTTATAGGTTATAATTTACTAAAAACTACATAGGTATACACATTTAAGTCAGTGGTGGCCTAGTAGTTAAAGGCCCGGCTCTTTATATTTATATTTCAGCGAACAACAAGTAATCGTTGTTTTTATATTTTATCTAATTAATAACAACTTATGTAGCTGTAATGGTTCACTCACTATAAATTTAATTTACTATTTAAAAATATTTACATAACTCAGAACGTAGGGCTATTTATAGCCCTACGTTCTGAGTTATGTAAATATTTTTTAGAGAAGAAACCTATCTCTTAGTAATCAAACTTATTATTCGTATTCGGCCTGACACTGAATAGTAAAATAATAAAAAATACAGAGTAAAATTATGCAACAATAATTTATAGACTTTGTTGGTTTTCGAACTTAATTTCAATACATTTATTTGTCGTCAAAATAAGCAAGTGACAAATTATGATAATAAAGATTAGACTCTAGAAGCAACCATTGGTCGAAATATTACTGTTAAGTGCTGAAAGATGCTGAAAGATCTTGACACTTTGACAACTGCGGATATTGTATCAAATTAAATGACCACTAACTAATGGCCATAATTTCAATCGACACGAAATTTCTTTGACAGTTTCATTTCTTATTTAAAAAAAGAATAAGCGAAAAGTCATTCTGTTATGTTAATGTTTTATTAAATAAGATTTGTTATACGTGATCAAATGATTGAAATATTTTTTATCGTATTTGTTGGCAAAGGATTTAGGAAGAATCATAGCGGTTTGTAAGATTTTATTCCTTTTTAATTCAGGAAAATGATTCAATAGAAATAATAAATACTTGCTCTAGTCACTTCAGTACGAAACAAAAAAAGATATCTATGTGTTCTCACACTTGTTCGTAGAACAATGATATATTTTTTTGGTACTAATATTTTTCATGACCTAGAAGGAATTATTTGCAGAGAATTCTTTAGGATCGAGCTATGTTCTATATTGAATTCCCGTAACGAAATTCCAATCAACGTTATAATATCGTATATTTATTGAGTTTTTAGGTTGCACTATTTATATAATACCTTCATATGAATATTTAATTTTCAATATAGTAAGATGTTCCAGGATATTTTCAATACATTTTAGACGTTTAGTCCAATTCTTTGGTGTGATTTTTTTTCTTCGTCTCAGCTCTATTCGTCTATTCTTATTTCTTTTCTTTTTAATGAATCTAAACTTTTCGTTACCTGTACGTTCAATAATTCAATGAAGTAGAAAAATTGTTATGATATGATAAATACTACAAATGTTCACATCTTATATGTATATGACATATTAAAATATATATGTACTTCAAAAACATTATTAGAAAATTAAAGAGAAAAAAATATCAAATAAGCATCTTTAAATCATAAACCTAGGAAAATAAGTTAACAGGCTGACAGGCTCATATTTCATAACCAATAGTAACCACTTAGAAATAAAAAAAGTATTTTCTTCAATTATAACATGATTTTAATGTGGCCAAATGCACTAATTTTCGGTACAGTTGATTACATTTTATTAGAAAACATATTTTGTATTAGTATAAAATCAAGTAATATTTTTTATATTTTTTTTATATTCCTTTATTTACCTGATTTAACAAAATTAAAACATAATATATTAGCCACTTTTTGTTACTAAAATTTTCTGTCTTTCTGTTTGTCTAGAATAATCAATAAAAGGGTTTATCCATTTTCTGAGTGTACTCTACACTCACATGTAGGATATATTTAGTCTTAGATATATTTACCATTTCATTTTGGGAAATTAAAAATTTAAAAGTAAAACCATAAAAATACCAAAAAAAATATATATAATTTATAATTCAACAAATGATAATAAAGTGTTTTAAATGCCCACAAAGCTAGTTTATATTAAAGAAATAATTCCTCATAAATGTATGTTTCTACTAAAAAGAACAATGTATTGTGTTTAAATACTTAGATATAAAAACTATGCCGTGACAAGAGAATGGCATATATTCTTTCATTCCTGTTTTCTTATGAAAGATAGTGTAATACTAATATTAATAACTGACATAGTCTCGCATAATATACAGGGTGACTGGTGAATTACTATCAATATTTAAGTAGAATACTCGGTACATGATTCTCATTCGAATTATGTAAAAAAAATAGGTACTTAATTTTTGACCAAATTTCCGTATAAATAAATAAAGTGTGGACACGTTCCAAGTGTTCCAAGTGTGGACGCGTACGGCGGCGTGCTGATACAACACTACGCCGCTGCACGCGTATGTGTGTGTGTGTGTGTGTGTGTATACCTAATCTGTAGGGTGTTCACACGATGCGTAATTAATTACATAACTTTTGGTTAACTTTACTTAGAAGTTTATTAATATTTATGTTATACTCATTTTTATTTTGTCATATATGATCGTCAAATATCACGTCCTCAAATATCGATAGTAATTCACCAGTCACCCTGTGTAAGTAGTATTCAGTTATGTGTAGTACTTTGATATTTCAATAATGATATACTTTATTTATTTACAGACCCATCAACTCCAAACGGAGAAGATAATGTGACGGGTAAGTTTTTAGATGTAATTTATAAATCAATAAACATATTTATATGTATTAATGAATCTTCCTTACAGATGAAAATCCAGTAACCGAACCCGAGAAAGAGAAAGAACAAGAAAAAGAAGAGGAAAAAGATAAGGAAAAGGAAAAGGAAAAAGAAAAAGAAAAGGTTAAAGAAAAAGAGAAAGAGAAAGAGAAAAAAACAGGTAAGTCACAGATTCTTGTATCATAAAATATATATATTTTTTAAACTTTACAACATTCGATATCTCGATTGAAATAGGCACAAAAGTATTTTTCTTAAACTTATTTTATAGAAGCGATAAATTTTCATACATTCAACATATAGTTAAAAAAAAAACATGCGAAAAATTTTGAAGTCTCGGTACTTTTTTATGAAATAATATATATTCATAAATCTTTTATAGTTTTTCTTTGGTCTTTTATTAAAGAAGAACATTCTAATAGAATATATATTTATAGCAGACGGCGACTGTCCTCCGGATAAAAGTTTACACAGCAAGAAAGATGTCCGGGTCATTATCGATTATATATACAGTAATCTACACTTCAATGATACACTAATGAAAGAACTGGTTCCTAAAGCTAACGAAGCAAAGAATAAACACACAGAAGATATTGCGCAATTTGAGAAATGGTTTAAAAATCAACCAAACAATTTACTAAATGTCCTGCAAGGTTTAGCTACGTTAAGGAAAAAACGCGTCGAGCCTGAAGTACAGAAGATAGCTGGCATACTAAAAGAGTTTCCACAACTAAAGGAACTGGCGGATGAAAGAATGACTAAGAAAAGTAATTTCATGAAAAGGTTGACGAAATACGAAAACATTTGTAAATACGCCTGCGATGAACCCGAACCCGGTATTTAAATTAATATTATTGTTACTTACGACAAAGGTAATATAAATAATATTTAAATAAATAATATAAAAATCTTTTCCAGAAATGAGACGTATATTCAAGAGGAGCATTCCAGATGATTATATATGCAGTTCCATCGAGGATCTACACAATAATATCACAACAAAATTAACAGAAAATTTCCACGTTTTTCTACAAAAGAAACTTGATATTATAAACGAAACAGATAATTTATTGACGGAAGAAATAAATAAAATGAAAAAGGAACTAAAAGATTCAGCTCTGTCTATATACGGTCGGACAATGTACGATGTTCTTAGCTTAGAAGATGAATTTAATAATTTCGTAAAAGAAATGAACTCTAGCATGGTAAAAGAACTCATATATGAGGTTAAAGAAGAGGGTCTGCAAATAGATTCTAAACTACTACAACTACAACGATTGATTGAAGATTACGGAAATTACTGCAAAAATTGTAGTTCAGGTAATAATTGTTTTTATATTATCTAGAATTGTAAAAATTTATTTATTATATAGAAAGATGTAACTGGTAAAATACACATCCTAATAATTCCGTTTGTACTTCAGGGCCAGTCAGACGTGTTTTACGACAAATAAATATAAATGATGAGGGAGAAGAAAGTACAGAAGACTCTGTTTCTCTTTTGGACGAATTGATTCAAGATAAATATGATCAAGTAAACATTACGACGAATGATGTGATCTTCGAAATCTTCAAGAACTTAACAGATTTACTTAATGACCCTGAAAGAGATAATAAATTTTTGGCTGATATACAATCTTTGCAAAAAAATATTGTTGATGCTTGGAATGTTGAGAGAGAGGGGCTAGAGAACTTGAAAAGCATCGCATCTCCGGCATCTCTGAAACAACTGTCAGAACTACTTTCAGATTCGAAGGACCTTCAGAAAGACATAGACGATAAGATAAAACATTTAGAAGATATACTGAATAAAAATAATTATTAATCATATCATAAAATGTTATATTCCAAAGTAAGTTAGAGCGATATGTCGAATTGTTTTATTGGAACAATAAAATTTCGAAATCACTTTGTCCTCTTTGAAGTATCTTTATTCTGCATTATAATGGAGGGTGACCGACCGCATGTTAGCCGATTACCGATTCAGCGCTCCTCAATAAATCTGAATAGGTATTGTGCGCGGGCGCATACAAAAGTGTTGTTGCTTATTGTGAATTAAATTTGTGATGTGAAGGTTCAAGGAGCCGTTGACATCGATTACAGGACGTGTGATGTTTGACACATGAGCGACGAACATTTTGGCTTGTGCATTAACTTTATGAAGTCATAAAATGTGACATTCTTTAACAAATCGACCTCTGTATAGAATACACATTCAGTTTCATAAAATTATATTTAAAGTCTTTATCAAATAACCTGTCTTTTGATTTTGTTAAAAAATAAAATAAAAAAGAAATTTCAAAATAAAAATCTCGTACAATATAATTGCATATCGGACTTAATTAAAAACACGATGCACTGTTTTTGTAATGGTCACCCAAACTTTGAATAACTCATGACGAATCGCAGTCGCCGAAAATGTACAAAACGATAAATTCATCCGGTCTGCCAGACACGAATTGGGAATTGAACTTTTATGAAGGCCTCAAAGCGAAATGGCCACAGCCATCCAGACAAGAGTTGCATTAAGAAACACTGCTGAAATTTTATAGCTGTGGTTTATTTAATGATCGAATTGCACCGTGTTTTATGCACTTGAATTATGTATCTGAACACCAAATTAATATATACATATGTATTTGATGTATGCATATCGTGTTTTGTGTTTTTATTAGGTTTTAAAATTCAGTAACATAGCCGACATTGTAATGTTATTGAATTATAAAATTCGATATGTTATGATAAAAGTAAAAAGACTAGACCATCGGATAAGTATTGGATCGTTTTTATAAATCAGTCTGTTGTATCATTGAAATGCAGTGGGTGTGTGGGTGTGAGGGTGATTGGGTGTGTGGGTGGTGGGTGGTGGGTGCATGCACCGTCTGTCGCGGCAAGGGCACCGCAGCCTGCAGCGGCCGCTACAACCTTCGACGACCTCAGTCGGACACTAGGCGACCTGAAATCGATTGTTACATTATATCATGTAATTTCTCTGTAAATACGTAACATATTATATACATCTTGATTACAATATCACAAAGAATTTATTTAAAAATCTTAACGAATCAAAAAGGTTAATTATAATTTTGGGTTTCATTTGAATCTTTAATCTCAAAATAATTAAGCATTAGTTAGTAGTTGTTATCTTCATATAGATATAATTGGACGATGTTTTTCATAAATAAAATAACATAATACAGGCACGGTCTTTTGACGGAGCGTACCTGTAGACTGCAGTGTCACCGCAAGGACGTCGGGTCACCGTCATAAAGCCGACCGATGTTAAACCAACCTTGTCCTTTTTTATCACACTTAACAACCAACCGAATTATGATTTTGTGACTCGAGTACTTATACATTTTGATTACTCACACCTCTCCTGCATTTTGGTTAAACATATGTACATATATTTTACGATGTTATGCATTTGTACATAGAATTTCCAAATTGGCTGCAATCCAATATTACCTTGTCGGGTGTAGTTAAATTATTTACCTGTATAACATAGGAGAATGGGTGACGGTTAAAAGGTAGGTATCAATGAAATACGATGAAGTCTCGTCTACTAGAGAGATCCAACTGGCGCCGATGCCAATTCAGAGAAAAGAGGTCGTTCATCTGCTCCACATATTACATGATGTTAGTTTTAAACATTCGATTACGTAATTACTATTCACTATAATATTTCGTCATACATGCAAGCAATTACATACAAAAATATCATAACATAAAGCCGAATGTGGAATACATTTTATTTGTTAAACAAAAAAGTCTTTGTTTCTTAATATAATTTGTTATAAAGTACAGAATTTCATATGAAATATGACTTAAGTATAGGTCTCATTAAATTTAAATGACTTTCAGAGGATATCTTTTTATCAAAAGGGCCATATGTTAAAGAGTGTTTTTCATTGTTCTCTATAGTTGGATCGCTGTACAAAGGCGAGTTACCGTAAGTGCTACCGAACGTACGAAGAGGAATATTTATACGTCGGACGCTTTTGTATACTTTTTTTTTAAAGATATTAATTGCGTGAATAATTGGACGAAATTGCTTTGTTGTTATGCTTCGCGATCTTTAGGTATTTCTTAATAATTATTATATTCGAGACATTTGTTTACAGTTTTCAACGCAGCGGATTCTTTTATTATACAGAAATATATTTTTTAATAACAATAAAATTATAGTATATAACTAAAACCTTATCCAATGATAAAATATAATATATTTTTTCGGAAAAATACAAGTCTTTCCCATTGTCAGAATTGTTAAAAGCTTTTAGCAAAAACAAGAAAACGTTGAAATGTTCGAATACAACCCTAATAAAGAATATTTTTAACAATAATGGAACTCATATGTATTTATGTATAAAAGAATAATATTTCTTTGTTTATCAAATGTGATAAGTTTTTAGTCTATAGATATTCATTTTTTATATTTTTTCTGTAGTACAACAATAGATTAAAAATAAACTCCAGACAGCCAATATACATTGATATATAATTTTAAAGTAACATCACAGATTATTAGCTGATATTACGCAGGTGTGCTGTTTCGGTAGAAATTGCAGATTGCATAATAAATCCCGTTTTAATTTTAAATGGAATGCCTATGGCAGAGAAAGGTTGTTTTATGATAGCTACATTCACTGACACGTTGGCCTGTAAGTACATGCAGGTGGTTGTCGATAAAACATATAGACGAGGATAGAATGGCAACACGGCTTGAGTTTTAGCCGACATCCGGCCTTACACCGCATTTTCACGCCACACTGCTCAAACAGGACTTCGGTCTTACCGGTCCACTAACAGACTTCCTCCTGCTTTTTTATGGCTACATTGCCTGTATTATTGTGGTTTTAAAATTCTGTATTTTTTTTTACTTTATACTGACAGAACGCATACATAGCTTTAATTTTTTTTAGACATCAATTAATACTTATCCATTTTGATATGACGATCTCAAATGTAAAGCCTTATAATAACTAAGTTATATTAGTATTGTAAATTGAACTTAAAATAGAATACAATTTTGAATGAAAACCAAATCGTAAAACGAAATTAAACTGTCCATAATCAATACTTTATTTATTAACATTAAAAATATTTCTTTACTTTACTTTAATCTCCACATACAACTGAAATTCAACATGCTTTCTAATCAGCGAGAGGTTCCATTGTTATGCAGTTCTGGTATTTGGATAAAATTTTGTAAATGTTAACGAAATCGGTGGCAATGGCCAGTGATGGCGAGTGCATTTGCACACGGTGCAGAGAATGCACCTCCCTCCCTCCCAACACCCTCACACCCCGCCAGCACCCTATCACCCACATATCTGTACATTCATGTTAACCCTTGGATACTTATAGCTTTTGACAGTATTTTTTACAGTATGAAAATGTACCTAAAACAAATGCACATTCGAAGTACAAGTAACAGACTAAGATATAATTATTATGCATCACAAAATCATCGGTCTATAATCCGATGAATTTCCTAAAACATACATAATCTGTACCTGCTCTTAAACTACTATAAAACGAGTATTATTTTATTTTTATTTGATATTTATTAATAATAATAAATACAATATTACATTCAAGATTCGTAAAACACGAAAGTCAAACTTACATACATCAATTTGCTCTTCTCGAATAATCCGTGCATTGACGTCGCGTATGCAACTGTAATGCCGGTCGCGAACAGCGGTTGTTGTTTAAATTATAACTATTATTTAAACTTATTATACTTTATACTTAATAATAAGACAAATACTTGCTTTTTTGTGTATAAACAACATCAAAAAAGTTTTATCTCAGACTTTGAAGAGATTGGTTGTAGAGTTATTATAATTATATTAAAGAATATTTAGTTAATTACGTTTATTGAAACTTTTGTATTCTAAATATATGTTTTTGAATGTCACATCCATAGTAGCGTGAATAATATTTTAAATATTAATAGTCGTATATATACTATGTTATCTAGTGGAAGGTATGTTTCAGGAGAAGGTTTTATATGATGATTTTAACGAAAATATAGAGAGATCATTCTCCTTACTAGTGGATTGACGAAACATGAATGAAATGACATTTAAAGCTGGATTCAAATTATCTAAGCTGAGTAAATTAAACAACTTGATGGACTATGCACCCACATACATATATATAGTAATTCAAGTTGTTTTAATAAATCCAGAATACTAAAATAAATCAAGAATAAATATCAATAGAATACGTATAACTAAAATGATTTATAATATTATGTTATATAATGTGTAATAAAAAATTTGTTAACTCTTGATTTACTTTAATATATAACATCTTAGGATTTCTATAAAATTTTCGGTTTTAACAACTTGTTTAAGAATTATGTTAACTACAATATAAAGTAAATTAATAAAAGTAACCATTTTAAAAATAATATTTATAAGATACTTATGTATAAACGCAATTCAAAGAACGAAACTTTCCCGATGGTTAGCCATATATGTATTTAGAAATTTATTAAAATTAAAAAATCCTATGAACTCACCATTTTAACTGATAAATTAGATTTATTATTGTTTAAACTAAATTAATTAATAATATTAAAATACATTTATACAGAACTAAATCTTCTGTGAACGTGAATCTCATAGATACTGTAATTTTATTGTCATCCAATTATATATGACATTCAGAACTGGCTCGAAACTTTTTGTCCTAAATTGCAAGTGCGTAATGATAGGGAGCGGTCGAATCGAGAAAGGTTGGGGGAAGGTGTCTGGGAGGGATGAGGTGGTTAGCGGGGGTAGGGGGGAGGTATTTCGGCCTTCCTGAAGAGCCTTCAGGCCGACGCGACGGACTGTCTAGACGTCTGGCAACTACTATATGTAACACTCATTATAAAATTCATGTCATTTGAACTAGTTGGTTTTGTTTTCCATTCATATACAAACATCGTAACTATTTTTATGCGTAATGACATTTTAAAAATACCATTTAATCTCCCGATCAGTCTGTCTCCGCACTAATTAATATTTTTTATTCAATAAACTTCTGCGGCTATAATAATCCAATTAGAGCTTCCTCCGGCTAACTACATACATGTTGTGTTGGTAACCTTTGTACCAGCTTCTAGTTTGTATTTAATAACCCCCCACAACATCGGCTGTATTCTTTGGCCCGGAGGATAATATTCTATAATTGAGTCAGACTGAATATTAAATTCATTAATACACCCACAAACGCAGACAACATTAATCTTTCTGGCAATACTTTTCGTAACGTCACCTGTCACTTTCGTCGATCAAAAAGTGAGCGATATGTATTTACATAAAGTAAAGTCACTTAAAAGTCGACTCGAATGTAACCAGTGCGAGTAGTGACGCACGAATAAATCCGTGTCGAGACAAGGTCGACGCGAGGGCGCGGGCCTAGTTCACGTAGCATATAGTTGGGGCATTTCACACACACCGTTCCCGTTGGAGCGTCTTTATATTGAATGGCAGGATACTGCGAAATGTATGACATTTATGAACGATATTATTGTAATCTAAGGTGCATCAATATAATGTGTTTAAAGTTCCTCCATTTCAAGCTAAAATTCTTGACTGTTATACCGTGCGAATTGTAATCAAGTTAGGAAATATAAGTAAATTAGTAGTTAAAAAATTAATACACAACTATTGCGTTTAGCCCCTTAGTATGAAGAAATTAAGGTATCCTCATATACGATCTTAATTATGAAACATTATAACATCAACGTTTAATATAATATTGAAGCAGTCGTATGTGAAAACACCCTGAGTTGAGCGGCGCGGCACTGGCATCGCTAAACAATGTTAGACAGCCGTGAATCAGAGCTCGTCTGCAACACTTACGATCACTATTCACATTCACCTGTCTCCAACAACAATAACATACGTAACAGGAAAACGACTTCGACGAACCGAAATCCTTCTTATAATACGA